ACATACTTTCTATACAAATCCAACAATACACCCAATAACATGCTTCACATACCATTGTAAATCAATTTTAAAAAAAAAAGTCAACTCAAATTAAACATACTTAACATGGATTATAGTAGAAAATTCACAAAGGTGCAAGAAAAATGGGAATTAGAGACCCCTACCTCTTAGGATGCAAAAATTCTCAAAATGGGTCTCAATTTTTGGACTTCCTTGAGTGGCCAAAAGCTGAAATTGCTGGTATGGATTTGAAGGTCTCGTTGTGAGCTTTAATTTGCCACAAACGGCACTTAAAATTATTAAGTATTGTGAGAGAGATCTAACTTTGAAATTTTAATATAAAAAGAAAAAAAAAAAATGAAACCAGAAGAGTGAGGTGAGAGAGGCCAGCAGGAGAGAAGAGAGAAGAGAAACCAAACATGGTCTCTTGGGTATTAAATGGTCTAAGGGTGGGTCCCACCATTTCCATTTTATTTTTCATTTTTCTTTTTATATTTATTTTGCACCACACACAACATATACACATAAAATAATGCACAACCTTATACAACACATTAAATAAAATAAATATGATGCAAATGGACCCAACTAAACTCTCCGGATGCAACAATTCCGGTAGCGGGTCCCACACGGGACCGTCCGGCCCGAAAAACAGAAAAATGCAAAAATGATCACCCTTTCATTTCAAAGAGTCCTGGACTCAATGAAATGCCCCAATCCACTTTCGGACATAACAAACACACTCCACGGTGTCGGGTACGGAAAACGAGAAAAGATAAAAAAAAATGCCCCTACAACGACAAAATTCCAGAAAATTAGAAAATGGTGAAAATCGTACAAACATATATAAATGGATATATAATCAAAGGTCTTGATCGATCTTTTGCAATCATCGTCTGGTCCAAAAGTGGATTGATTAGGTCCGATGATTTCCAATCAAAGATACGATTAGCATCTAGGCGTACATGATATGTATATGTGTGTGAGAGATCAAGAGATAAAAATTTTGCTTTTTTAGTGAAAGAAATTCGTAAAATTGTTTTAGGGTTCTGATTTTGCTTTTTTCTTTTTCTTTTTTGTTGCAGGAAGATGTGATGAGTCTCAACCTTTAGCCCTCAGATGATACGAGTCTCTCTCTCTCCTATCTCTCTCTCTCTCTTATGGTGAACTGAAGAAATTGAATTTCATTTTGTATATAGAAGAAATTCGTATAAATTTTTTGTATAAATAACAGATACATAGGTATGTATATACAGCCAAATAAATACATTTTTTACTCACAACCATGTCATCAGTTTACCCCTCCATGGACAGCCTCCAGTGAGAGGTGCCTTAGGAGAGGATTTTTCTCCTTAATGATTTGCTTGCATTTGTAGTTAGCCCTCTCTCTCTAACTTTCTCTCTTTAACCTTTCTCTGTGCAACAACTCTTTCTTCCACTCCCTTTTCCTCCTCGCTCCCTTCCATAAGAGTGTGGAGGTGTTGTTTTTGCCTTTTACAACTTTAATAAACTCGACTCTTGTTTTTGCCTTTTACAACTTTAATAAACTCGACTCAACATGTGTAAATAAGTTCTCTCAGTGGGTGTTTTTTACATTGTTTTTGCTTTTGTTATGCTAGATCTGCTCATGTTTGACTTGTTTTTAGTTAGTGTGAATGGATCTGCTGTTTTCTCTCCGGTTAGGTCTTTGATCTATCTCAATTTTGGTTGTCCCTGACTTCATCCGATCTTTTTCACTTGATTTGATCTTGTACGGGTTTGTGTGGTTTTCTTCCTGTCGGAGACGCCTTATTGATGTAGTTTTGGAGCTCTTGCCTTAATGATGGCCAAGCCTTTGGATTTCTCCTGTTGCTATTCTTCTCCCTTGGTGTTTTCCGTTCTTGAACTTTAGCTCTTGTTCTCAACAAATTTGAAACATGTTCTTCATTTTTCCTTATTTTGCTTCAAGATTTGTATGCTTTATCTGATTTGGTTTTTGCCATGACAGTTTATTATATTTCGTGATAATTGGGGCTGGTGTAATTCTGTATCAGCAAAATTTTCATTATTTATTGTGGATCAACCAAAATTTTCATTATTTGTTGTGGATCAAAATGTAGGAAAGGCGAGCAACATTTGAGAACATGATTATCGTCCTAACTTTGGGAGGTGTGATCATAAAATATCGGTACTTGTGGGATGGAGAAATGATGTAGTACCCCAAGGTCGCCACGTCAATACGCCAACATGGTAAACCCTTTCCAATTAAAAGCCGCCATGTGGTAAAATTATAAAATTTTTCCATGTCAGCAACAACCCAACGTGAGACTTAACGCCATGACTAAATCTTCATTCTGTACCGCTAGTGTTTGATAAAATGTCTGTGGCAACCTTAGCATGGAGGAAGAGTGCCCTAAAATTGTAGCATGGGCTAAGAGGCGTATGGAGAAGGAGAGTGTGTCCAAGGCTCTTCCAGACCAGTTCACTTTCTTTGACTTCATCACGGAAATGGCAAACAAGTTTGGTGCTTAGTGAGAAGATATAGCAATTAATGCCAATTATGTCATATAGTTGATTATTATTATTGTGGCATGGGCTAAGAGGTGTGCCCTTTTTGTTACATTTACAATAAATGACTGAACAATAAAGCACTTCATATGTGTTAGCAATGAGAAGAAAATACAAATGAAATATATTTACTGATTTCTTGCTTTAAACAATTCATCATTATCAACTGGAGACATTTTTGGATTCAAGTTCTTGAACCCATCTTTAAATTTAGTTTCTCCACACTAAGCCTTGTCTAAGATATCATTTTCTTCGTTTTTGGTAATTAAACCTTATAACATTGAATTAATCTTTGTTATTAGGTTGCAAGGTATTTTTTTTTCTTTTTTTGAAAGGTCAAACAGTGGGTATTTCTCTGTTTATAAGGCTATTTGTTTTTTTTCATCATTTTAATTGCTAACGGGGGATTGAGTTACGGGTGTAATGGTGTATTGAATTGTAGTGACTGATTTTTAGTCATGAATAGCAAGGACTACGCATTTGTTGCATCATTGTGGGTGTCTTTTTTTTTTTTTTTTTTTCCTTTGTGGGTGTCTGTTACTGGTTAATTGTGTGTGTCTATTTCTCCGAAAAATTTTTTTTGAGAGGAGGGTATTTTGCAAACTTTAGAAACCAGAGGGAGTTTAGTGCCCCAAGGCCTGTTGATAAAGAGGAAACTGTACAATGGGTTTGGGCCTTAAGAGGCCTATAGAAAAAGAAAAGGATGAAAATGACCCAACTAATATGTTTACAAGCCCAAAATCCAAAACCAAAAGATGGGCAACACAGCCCAGCCCTAATCCAGTAATTAATCAATGTATAGGTGACCCCAATTCATGTTTTCATTTGAATCCACAAAATTGTACTAGAAAATTCAGAGAGAATTATGATATATTATTAATGATAAAATGAGTGATCCGCATGTATTGAATATCTAGAGAGTGGTGCCCGTGGTACCGGCAGCTCTTAGATTATAAATTGGAGAGAGTGGTAATCATCATTAATTAACATTCTCAATAAACATTAATAAATTGTAGGTAATAGATAATTGTCTACATAGAAAAGGAGGCTGTGAAAAAAAAAACACAAACACAACCTAGATTACTAACATTAGACTTGTTGATTAAAGAATTGAAGGGTCAATAAATGATAGTAAAAGAACATCAACACATAAATGAAAAGCCATGACAACCACAAAAAATAGTTCCCACCTGTGAGGCAATCCACGACTACCACAAAATGTAGACAATGAGCCCTCCATCAAAAGTGCCTTATCTGCTTGATTCATTGTTTCAGCGGACCACTTCCTAATATTTGTATAGCCTCCAATCCAAACAAGGCGAACTACCACATTCTTCAGTGTGTGTTTATTAGACTTGTTGATTCAAGAATCGAAGGGTCAACAAATAATGGAAGGACATCAACGCGTAAATTGGAAAATCATATCAACCACAGAAGTAGTTCTCAAACAGTGAGGCAAGCCATGACGACAGCAAAAAGTAAACAATGAACCCCTTATCAATAAGTGTCTTATAAATAATTGCTCCAACTTCATTCTTTTTCACACAACACAAGCAATCTCAGACACTACAACCCATTTTGCAATAACCCACTTTTTGTTTTTCAATCTTTGTCTTTTTGAATCATTACTAGAATGGCTGGTGAATTGATTCTCTTGGAGTTCTGGGCTAGCCCTTTTGCACAGAGGGTGAAAATTGCCTTGGCTGAGAAAGGCGTAGGCTATGACTGCAAAGAAGAGAACTTGTTTGATAAGAGTCCTCTACTTCTAAAGATGAACCCTGTTAATAGGCAAATCCCAGTTTTGATCCATAATGGGAAACCGATATGCGAGTCCCTCATCATTGTTCAATACATTGATGAGCTCTGGAACCATAAATCTCCATTGTTGTCTAGTGATCCATACAAGCGCGCCCAAGAAAGATTCTGGGCTGACTACGTTGACAAGAAGGTCAGTTCAACTCTTCCATTTGTTCTTCATTTAATCACCTAGTAATTGGGATGTGTGTGTATATATAATATTTGCAACACTGTTACAATCCTTTATATGCAGATATATAGCAATGGAAGGAGTCTAGTTTTCGGCAAAGGTGAAGCTCAAGAAGCAGCAAAAAAGGAGCTGATAGAGTGCTACAAAGTGTTGGAAGCAGAGCTTGGAGAGAAGACTTATTTTGGGGGAGAGACATTTGGTTTTGTGGATATTGCACTTATACCCTTTTACAATTGGATTCACATCTATGAGACATGTGGCAAACTTAGGTTTGAGGAAGAGTGCCCTAAAATTGTGGCATGGGGTAAGAGGTGCTTGGAGAAGGAGAGTGTGTCCAAGGCTCTTCCAGACCAGATCAAGCTCTATGAATTCTTCATGGAGCTGGCAAAGAAGTTTGGTGCTTAGTAAAATTCCAGAAGAGTTAATTACTAGTATTTGAAATTCTCTCTTTCCCTTATTGTACTAATATTTTTCATTTTTTTGGATTTAAGTTTGGTCTCTGTGCTTCTTATTTGTTGAGGGGTGCGTTGTTTTTGTTACACGTACAGTAAATAAATTACTTCATGTTCTGTTGATATTCTTGAGATTTCTTTCGATTCAAGTCCTTAAACCCATCTTTTAATTCAGTTCCTCTACAATTAAGGCAAAGGCAAGACTTTAAAACAAATTGTTTGGTGGCAAAATCAATTGTGAATAGTTGCAAAATATCCCGTTGTAGCAAATGAGAGGACCAATAATCTTTGGAAAAATAAAAGAAAAGAAAGCTAATGGGGTGGTCCTAAAGTTTGGAAGGAGAGGTTACTTTGTGTGTTGTTGTGGTGGGTGTTTTTTTTTAGGGGGGGGAGGGGGGGGTTCATCAACATATCTACGACACTATTATTCATTCACTATTATTATTGTGCCAAAAGAGGAAGGGAATACTCTATAGTATTATACAAACGAAAAGTTTGACGAATTTTAAAAAGCATATCACACCACATCTATCAAGTACAAACACTTTTACCAAAGAATTGTATTTGTATCTTATCCGTGTCTAACACCAACACTCGTCAGACATTCCTTTTTGACACGTTTCTGTCTGTTAATAAAAATAATTTTTTATTATCTTGCATATTTTTCTGTTCTTTTCGGACACTTCGCCGATACTTAGACCGATATTCTCAAACATTTATTACACAAGCCTACCAAGTAATTTTGAAAATAATATTGAATACATCATGAAGTGTTCAACTTTTTTCTTTAATAAAAATTGACATTATACACATATAATCACGTGTGAAATATTAAATGATATTTGTTCATTTAAAATAAAAACACTATTGTTTTGGGAGAGAGACCTTTGGTTTTGTGGATATTGCACTAATACCCTTTTACAGTTTGGTTTCACGTCTACTAGACTTATGGCAACCTTAGCATGGAGGAAGAGTGCCCTAAAATTGTGGCATGGGCTAAAAGGTGCATGGAGAAGGAGAGTGTTTCCTAGTCTCTTCCAGACCAGTACAAGTTCTCTGACTTCATCACGGAGATGGCAAAGAAGTTTGGTGCTGAGTGATAATTCTTTAATTATAAGAAAAAGATATAGAAATTATGTGATAGTGTTGATTACTACTGTATTTGGAATTCTCACTCTAGCTCTTGCAATCTTTTGTCTTTCTACTTTTTCTTTGTTGAGAGGTGGCATCTTTTTGTTACATTTATAATAAAGGACTGTACAATAAAGGACTTTATGTTATGTACTGCAGCAGTGAGAAGAAAATACAAATGAAATACTTACTTATTTCTTGCTTTAAACAATTCTCCATTATCAGACATTTTTTTTTTAATTATTTTTAAAGTGTTTTTCCATCTTCATTTCTCTCTCAATCCTGCCCTCCAAGAAATTTGGGGATATCGTGTTCGCTTTTTTCCTACACATTGAAAGTACTTGTTTTGAGTAACTCTTTGGTTGCCAGAAAAATAGGAAGTGAATGTACGTTGTGGTTGTAGTTTGGGATGAAAATAAAAGGCAAAGATGAAAACACAAACTAACACATTGAAGTATGCAGAGGGTGGCCATGTTTGGAGAGGATATTGTTGGGGAAAAAGACAGAGATATATCATGGCAATGCAACAAATACAATACCTAAGTCAAAAGGGAAATACCTGGACAGGAACTTTCTCATCACTCTGCAAGCATCTAAGATTAACAAATATAGAACAAACAATCAATAAAATCAAATCACACAATGAACACCAGAATATACTTTTCCCTCCTGATTGAAGAGTAAAAAACTATGGGCTAACTCGAATAATATTCCACTATCATCAATAATAATGGAGTTACAATTGGTCTTCTCTAAGTTGAACTAGAAGTTTAACATCAACAGAATGAAACTTCACCCAGAAAAAGAGTGGATATCAACCACAAAGATAAGTAATCTCACTCGGTGTAGAAGAGACGTAAAATAGAGATAAACGGAACCTGGCCAAAGAGGATGATCTTCTCAATGCCAGCAACCTCCCCCTAAAATTACACCTTGATCGGACTTTAATGGCCAACTGATTTGCATAGAGTTGTGGGCTATGTCTTCCACAATCTCTCCCCCTTCTCTCACAATGAAAAAAAAATAAGTAATACGCCTCCTCCTCTTATTTTTAGAACAACAATCTCTTTCTTCCCATTAACCCTACATCTCCACTAAAGGAGAATATATACACGGCATCTCATTAACCCTACATCTCCACTAAAGGAGAATATATACACGGCATGAGACTTATTGGACTCTCCACATAGGAGGGAACCAACCCAACAAATATTGCTATATAAGTATGAGGAAGTGGTCCACGAAAACAATGATTCTAGTAAAAACTGCAAATTAATTTATTTGAAAATAAATTATAAATTACAGGGAGTGGTAATCATAGTTAATTAACATTTCCTATAAAGATTAATAAATTGTAAATAATATATTATAGAAAAGGAGAATGTGAAATAAAAGCCGTATAACCTAGTGATATCCTCTACTCTTTAAAGGATGGTAAGGGATCGAGTCCCCGTAAAAATAAATAGGTGTATTAATTTCTTTTCATTGAAAAAATTAATAAAATAAAATAAGCATGCGGAACATGAAATTTATAAACAAAATGCATTAAATAAATCATTTGAAAAATTATAAATAAAGAGGTACTTTGAATGACTATAGGTACTTTGAATCAAAGATATAAATCAAATAATATAAGTTAAAGAAATAAATATATTAGAAATACGAAAATAATACTTCCAACTCTTACCAAATGCAGAAATATTTTGAAAAATTAGAAATACAAGAGGGTAAAATGACTAATATAGGTGGTGCTTTGCATCAAAGATACTCCTATAAATCAAATAATATAAGTTAAAGAAAAAAATATATTAGAAATACGAAAATACTACTTCCAACTGTTTACCAAATGCGGAAATCTGTGAGGGAAGAAATTGTGAGTAACAAACCTCACACAGGAATGGTAAATAAAATTAATAATGAGGAAGTGGATGATACACTTAAAAGCAAATGATTACACGACTTATTGAGTTTTTTTGGAAAATAAGGAATTGAATGGCTAAAAGAAAGTTGTTTAACAGAATTCTAAAAGATGCAAAGAATCCCAAGTGAATAGAGAAAAAACAAAAGAGATAAAGAAATTCTGAGACTTATGAAGTAATTAAGTTGACAAGCGTACAATGAAATCACGGGAATCCGCTTAGTAATTTCATTCCTATTTGAAAAGTGTGTTAATATTGCCTCATTCTTTTAACATCCCTATTTAAAAAGTGTGTTAATAACGCCTCATTCTTTTAACATTGTACATAAAATGTCCATCAAACGAAAATGTGACATAAAATAATATTATAATGTCTATTTTATCCTTTTACTCACCAAAAATGCCCAAGAGGTGAATATGCTAATAATCTATGAGTTGAGACTTATACATTTCTTAAAACTTAATTCCACTCATAAATTAGAAAGTTCTAATTATATATGTATATTATTTTTACTAGTCCAATAGAAATAAATAAATATATATATAATATATAATAATATTTGTTCTTATATCACATGGAATGAAAATCTCAATTCTTTTTATAATTATAAAAAAAAATAAATTAAATTAAAAATACTTATTAGTTATATATATATATATATATATATATATATATATAAAATTTTTTAAACTTTACAATTTACAATAAATTTTCACAAATATATTATATATGTAGCAACAAATCGGTACAAGTATCATTACTTAAAATAAATTGTCTCTTGTATCATTCTACTTTTTGCTATGTAATTATAAAAGTAGAATGATACAAGAGACAATTTATTTTGAGTAATGATACTTATATCGATTTGTTGCACCGAATGTTTCTAATTAGTTATTTATGCATAGTATATGTAAGTGGAGGACCTTATTTCTTTGATCCGACAATTCATTAGAACAAATTACATAAATAAAAAAATAGAATCATCTACTTATATATATTATGCATAAATAATTCATTAAAAATATTCAGTATAATAAATCAATACAATAAGTCAGATACAAGTCTCATTACTCATTTGTTTTAGGGCTATTAGAGACTTTGTTACTTCCAAATAATTCCACAGCTTTGTCACCAAAAGACACATTCCAAGGTTTTACCCACCAAACAGTATCTGACATCACAGTTTATCTTATCAAGAAATAGAGAAGACTTCTAGCTAGTGTCTTTTCTGCTCGATTCATTGTTTTAGGGGACCACTTCCTAATATTTGTATTGTCTCCCATCCAAACAAGTCCAACCTCCACATGCTTCAATGCGTGTGTTTATTTTCAATTGTACACAAATAAAATACAAATCCATTATTGCCTATATAAAAAAATATATTAGAAAAGGTGAATGTGAAATAAAAAGGGTATAACTTAGTGATATATCATCTACTTTTTAAAGGATAGTGAGGGATCGAGTCCCCGTAAAAACAAATAGGTGTGTTAATTTCTTCTCATTGAAAAAATTAATAAAATAAAATAAGCATGCGGAACATGAAATTTATAAACAAAATGCATTAAATAAATCATTTGAAAAATTATAAATAAAAGAGGGTGAAATGACTATTCACAAATTAGCAAAAAAATATAGAGAGAGGGAGAATGACTATAGGTACTTTGAATCAAAGATATAAATCAAATAATATAAGTTAAAGAAATAAATATATTAGAAATACGAAAATAATACTTCCAACTCTTACCAAATGCAGAAATATTTTGAAAAATTAGAAATACAAGAGGGTAAAATGACTAATATAGGTGGTACTTTGCATCAAAGATACTCCTATAAATCAAATAATATAAGTTAAAGAAAAAAATATATTAGAAATACGAAAATACTACTTCCAACTCTTTACCAAATGCGGAAATATGTGAGGGAAGAAATTGTGAGTAACAAACCTCACACAGGAATGGTAAATAAAATTAATAATGAGGAAGCAAATGAGTACACGACTTGGTTGAGTGTTTTTGGAAAATAAGGAATTGAATGGCTAAAAGAAAGTTGTTTAACAGAATTCTAAAAGATGCAAAGAATCCCAAGTGAATAGAGAAAAAACAAAAGAGATAAAGAAATTCTGAAACTTATGAAGTAATTAAGTTGACAAGCGTAGAATGAAATCACGGGAATCCGCATAGTAATTTCATTCCTATTTGAAAAGTGTGTTAATATTGCCTCATTCTTTTAACATTCCTATTTGAAAAGTGTGTTAATAACGCCTCATTCTTTTAACACTGTACATAAAATGTCCATCAAACAAAAGTGTGATATAAAATAATATTGTAATGTCTATTTTATCTTTTTACTCACCAAAAATGCCCAAGAAGTGAATATGCTAATAATCTATGAGTTGAGACTTATACATTTCTTAAAACTTAATTCCATTCATAAATTAGAAAGTTCTAATTATATATGTATATTACTTTTACTAGTCCAATAGAAATAAATAAATAAATATAAATATATATAAATAGAGTCCTGATCTGTTGCTCCCCATGGAGCAAGAAAAATAATCCACACTTTCTATATAGACCGTTAGATTAAATCTAACGGTCATTTTACAAACCCACCTATGGCCTTTCCTTTTAATACAAAACCACTCTCACCCTATTTTTAGTTTCTATAATTAATTTTACCATTACCACCTACTGTTACAATAAAAGGTAATTATCAAAATAAAAATAGAAACCTATGAAAAAAATTAATTCTCGTATATTTTACTAATAAATTTGTTTTTATTTAAATATTTCTTTGAAAGAAAAATAATAGCCGCATCTTGCTAAGAGGCTTGATAGTGTCTGGGGTGCCTGGTTTTTTTTCAGGTTTTTTTTTAAAGCCAACTTTGAATGAGAAATAAAGGAGTAAGATCACTTGGGAGAGTAATGGGGTTGGTGGGTATGATAAATTAGACTTGAAGCTTGATGTTTTCATGGTTCAGCATGATACGGAGAATATGTATATATGGGTTTTCAAGGAGAGGCTTGAAAATACATTAGGAAAGATGCAGCTGAAATGTTAAGCGGTGTGCACGATTCCGGGATTTAGAGGTGTTTCATGTTGTTTCAGAACCAAAGCTCTCATGGAAAACAATATTATTGTTATAGTTATATGTGCGTGTACGTGTGGATAACAATATTATACAACTGAATAATGGAATCATATGACATTGACTTTATTCAAAATTGTTAAAGCTTAAACTAAATAAAACGAAAACAAAAATTTTAATCTCTTCATTAAGGGATGAAACTTAACAAAATTTAAAAACATTTAATCCTCAAAACCTTAAAGTAAACTCTTCCACGACAAATAAAAGTAAAGTTACGGGAATTAATTTTTTTTCAAAGGTTTCTATTTTTATTTTGATAATTACCTTTTATTGTTACAGTAGGTAGTAATGGTAAAATTAATTATAGAAACTAAAAAAATGGTGAAAGTGGTTTTGTGTTAAAATGAAAGATCATATGTGGGTTTGTAAAATGACCGTTAGATTTAATCTAACGGTCTATATAAAAAGTGTGGATTATTTTTCTTGCTCCATGGGGAGCAAGAGATCAGGACTATATATATATATATATATATATATATATATATAATAATATGTGTTCTTATATCACATGGAATGAAAATCTCAATTCTTTTTATAATTATAAAAAAAAAAAAAAATTAAAATTAAAAATACTTATTCATTATATATATATATATAATTTTTTAAACTTTACAATTTACAATAAATTTTCACAAATATATTATATATATAGCAACAAATATATAATTACATAGCAAAAAGTAGAATGATACCAGAGACAATTTATTTTGAGTAATGATACTTACACCGATTTGTTATACCGAATGTTTTTAATTAGTTATTTATGCATAATATATGTAAGTGGAGGACCCTACTTCTTTGATCCGACAATTTATTACAACAAATTACATAAATAAATAAATAAATCCTCCACTTATAACTCATTAAAAATATTCCGTATAATAAATCGATAGAACGAATCGCATTACTCATTTGTTTTAGCACTATTAGAGACTTTGTTACTTCCAAATAATTCCACAGCTTTATCATCAAAAGACACATTCCAAGGTTTTACCCGCCAAACAGTATCTGACATCACAGTTTATTTTATCAAGAAATAGAGAAGACTTCTAGCTAGTGTCTTTTCTGCTCGATTCATTGTTTTAGGGGACAACTTCCTAATACTTGTATTGCCTCCCATCCAAACAAGTCCAACCTCCACATGCTTCAATGTGTGTGCTTATTTTCAATTGTTCACAAATAAAATACAAATCCATTGTTGCCTATATAAAAAGGAGAAAGTGAACCAAAATTAATTACGATGAATAGACTTATTGATTAAAGAATCGAAGGGTCGGTAAATAGTGGAAGGACGTCAACGCGTAAATTGGAAACTCATATCAACCACAGAAGTAGTTCTCAAACAGTGAGGCAAGCCATGCCGACTGCGAAAAGTAAACGATGAACCCTTTATAAATACTTGCTCCAACTTCATTCTTTTTCACATAACACAACAATCCATTTCCAATAACCCAATTTTTTTTTCTTCAATCCGTGTCTTTTTGAATCATAACTAGAATGGCTGGTGAATTGATTCTCTTGGAGTTCTGGGCTAGCCCTTTTGCACAGAGGGTGAAAATTGCCTTGGCTGAGAAAGGCCTAGGCTATGAGTGCAAAGAAGAGAACTTGTTTAATAAGAGTCCTCTGCTTCTAGAGATGAACCCCGTTAATAAGCAAATCCCAGTTTTGATCCATAATGGGAAACCGATATGCGAGTCCCTCATCATTGTTCAATACATTGACGAGCTCTGGAACCACAAATCTCCATTGTTGCCTAGTGATCCATACAAGCGAGCCCAAGCAAGATTCTGGGCTGACTACGTTGACAAGAAGGTCAGTTCACTCTTCCATTTGCTCTTCATTTAATTTAATCACCTACTAATTGGGATGTGTGTGTATGTATAATATTTGCAACACTGTTACAATCCTTTATATGCAGATGTATAGCAATGGAAGGAGTTTAGTTTTCGGCAAAGGTGAAGTCCAAGAAGCAGGGAAAAAGGAGCTGATAGAGTGCTACAAAGTGTTGGAAGCGGAGCTTGGAGAGAAGACTTATTTTGGGGGAGAGACCTTTGGTTTTGTGGATATTGCACTTGTACCCTTTTACAATTGGATTCACATCTATGAGACATGTGGCAAATTTAGGTTTGAGGAAGAGTGCCCTAAAATTGCGGCGTGGGGGAAGAGGTGCTTGGAGAAGGAGAGTGTGTCCAAGGCTCTTCCAGACCAGATCAAGCTCTATGAATTCTTCATGGAGCTGGCAAAGAAGTTTGGTGCTTAGTAGAATTCCAGAAGAGTTAATTACTAGTATTTGAAATTCTCTCTTTCCCTTCTTGTATTAATATTTTTCTCTTTTTTGGATTTAAGTTTGGTCTTTGTGCTTTTTATTTGTTGGGTGTGTCGTTTTTGTTACACGTACAATAAAGAAAGTACTTCATGTTCTGTTGATATAGATTTCTTTCTATTTAAGTCCTTGAACTCATCTTTTAATTCAGTTCCTCTACAATTAGGGCAAAGGCAAGATTTTAAAACAAATTTTTTGGTGGCAAAATCAATTGTGAATTGTGATCGACCAAATGCAATTTCCGACAACCAACTTTCGTTACAAAATATCCAATCGTATCAAATGAGAAAGGACCAATAATCTTTGGGAAAAGCTAAGAAAAGAAAAGAAAAGATAACTAATGAGGTGGTCATAGTTGTTGGAAAGAGAGTAGGGTTACAAATGAACCGAACTGTTCATGAACAGTTCGGGCTCGGCTCACTAGTAAATAAGTTAAGCCCGAACTCAATTTTCAGACTCGTTTACTAAACGAGCCGAGCCTGAACAATGTTAGGCTCGGCTCGTAGTTGGTGGAAGGAAAGGTTGGGGACCAGCCTTACTTTGGGGGAGTGACCTTTGAATTCTTGTCCCTTCCTACAATTGGTTTTAACACTTATAAACATATCAGTGACATTATTATTGTATCAAAGAGAAAGGAAATATTGTAAAGTCAAAGCAAATAAGTTTTATCTTTTCATCATTATTCTTTATATTTTGACGAATTTAAAAAAGCAAATCCCACAAGAGTTGGTACTATAAAATACTAGAAAAATAATTTTGGGACACAATTCTCGTGCCCAACATGAAATAAATTCTGTACAATAATGATTTTTGGGCACAGTCAGCAGCACCATTAGGGGTGCAGCTTGTGGGCTAACTCAAATTCAACTCGAGCCCACCTTGTTTATTTACGAGTTACTCAACTCGAACTCAAATTTTAATATTATTTACTATAGTACATAATATTCAAATTATGATATTTTTTTTTTAACTTCCTTAACTTAAATCTTAATTTATTACACGTTAATATTCTATAGAATTAATTTTTTAAGAATTTGTTTGTAATATCTTTTTTATAATAAATTTGCAGTAAGGTTCTAATTTTTTTTGCTCAGGAGTATTTTTAATAATGTAAAGACTTGTCATATGTAATCTAGATTAACCCGACTTTTCTAATTCAAAATCTCAACCTTAATAACAAATTGGAGTTTAAAAATTTTAAAATGAGTTGGAATCAGATTAATAATTTATTAAAATTAAAGATTAGTTTAAAATTAAATTAGAGTTAAATATTTCATACATACCTCCCACCTTGCGGAAATTGCAAACCTAACCACAACGCCATTGGATGCATCTAGGCCGAAGGTATAGTGATGGAACCACAATGGCACCAAATGGTGGGCCAAGTCTTTAATTGAAGGCATCGGCCTAGGTTCCATGTTTCAAACAATTTTGATATCTTTGGCGGATTCCACGAAATAGCCAACTTAGAATTGTGGACCAGAGGTGTAGCACGTGAAGGATTAATTAGTATACGATGCTACGTAGGCAGTGACACTTATTTCAAACCCCAATGCTTATTTGATAGTCTGATACTACGTATACTCTTTATATATATATATATATATATATATATATATATGCATCTAGGCCGAAGGTATAGTGATGGAACCACAATGGCACCAAATGGTGGGCCAAGTCTTTAATTGAAGGCATCGGCCTAGGTTCAATGTTTCAAACAATTTTGATATCTTTGGCGGATTCCACGAAATAGACAACTTAGAATTGTGGACCAGAGGTGTAGCACGTGAAGGATTAATTAGTATACGATGCTACGTAGGCAGTGACACTTATTTCAAACCCTAATGCTTATTTGATAGTCTGATACTACGTATACTCTTTATATATATATATATATATATATATATATATAAAGACTCCAATCACCTTCCGCCGATGTGCACTATAATCTGTCGCTAGTTTCATAATTTATTTGTCAGTTTAATCTTTTATCTCCTCGGCCTAAATGGGTGATGAAAAAGTTGTTCTTTTGAGTTCTTGGGCAAGCCCTTTTGGTTTGAGGGTGAGAATTGCATTGGAAGAGAAGGGTATTGTGTTTGAGTACAAAGAAGAGGACATGTTTGGTACCAAAAGCCCTCTGCTCTTGAATTCGAACCCAGTTCATAAAAAAATCCCAGTTCTGATTCACAATGGTAAACCCATATGTGAATCACTAAACATTGTTCAGTACATCGACGAGGTCTGGAAGGGTAAATCTCCATTGTTCCCTTCCGATAGCTACCAGAAAGCAAAAGCAAGATTTTGGGCAGACTTAATCGACAAAAAGGTCAGTTCAAGTTTTATCACATGCATCCTATAATAGTCGGGATGATATCATGAGATCATATCATATCCGTCATATGTGAATGCTTCTATAAATTGATATTATATTGTGTGAATTTTTTATCAGTATGCATTAAAACAAAAATCCGAGTTTGGGAAATTGAATGGATGGAGACAACCCTAAGGTTAAAAAATGAAAAATGTAAAATAGTTAGGTGTTTGAATTTTTTTTTTTTTTTTTTGGATGTGTTGCAGATTTATGACATTTGTAAGAGGATATGGAGGAGCAAAGGAGAGAATCAAGAGACTGCAAAAAAGGAACTCATAGAAATCTTTAAGTTGTTGGAAGGAGAGATTGCAGACAAGCCTTATTTTGGCGGCAACGATTTTGGGTTTGTGGACGTTGCCCTTGTGCCATTTTACAGTAGATTTTACGCATTGGAGACCTTTGGAAACTTCAGCATAGAGGCAGAGTGCCCAAAGCTGGTGGCATGGGCTAAAAGGTGTATGTTGAGAGAAAGTGTGTCCAAGTCTCTTCCGGACCCCCAAAAGGCCTACGAGTTTGTTTTGCAGGTTAACGAGGTGTTAGGAATACAATAGCGAGTGGCTGGCTCATGGGATATGATCATATGACAAAACCAATTGCTTTTTCAAGAACTGTGTGTGTGTGTGTGTGTGTGTGTGTGAGTATTATTGGGCTTAAATTTGATATTGGGCTACAAACAAATACTAGTAGATTTGTATTTTTTCTTGTCTAGGGTTTAGATCAAGCTGGGCACCATAGGCCCAAACCAACCCAAAAGTCTGTCAGCTAAAACTCGTAACAACCAAGGGCTTTGTTTAGAAGTAACACAAGTTTTTATATTGGCTCATGGAAACACGAGCTTTCGAATGTCCGTCTAAAAAGTGTAATGAGTATATATAGGGATGGTGTTAATTCTATAAGATGTCAAATGTTCGTGATGGAATCAATTTAAATTTTAAGTCTTGTTTAGAGCTTAAAGCGTGAATAGATGAATTTATTTTATCCAATGTGACATCTATGCTTGCAAAATGGAACAATCCGAAAACAGTTTGAGTATCATTTTCATTTGTGTTAGGTAATATATTTTTCAAAGAATGTTTCTTTAGTTATAAGCATGTTCCAACAGTTTGATATTCATTTGTGTTAGGTAATTTAGATTTTATTATACTCCCATAAGCTACGGGAATGAGTTTAAGAATTTGGGTAACATAGGTCTAAAACCTGGGAGGAGCTTACCAACTTTTATTTTTACTTGAAATTATGAACTTAAATACATCTTTTATTGTGTCTTTTGAAAATGGAATTAAAAAAAAATTGATGTCAAAAAGCAAACATAGCTTAATTTAGTAAACAATTAATTGCTTCTAAAAGTTCATTTTTCTAGTTGGATGACAATGTGGTCCAACAATGTGATAGAAAATGGAGATGGAGACACAACTATTGTCAGCTCTAAAAAGTCGTCGTTGCATTTGGAGGTAGATGGAGTAAATAGTAAGGGAGTGGATTGATTCCGAAATTAGAAATTTGGAAAGCTAAACAATACGACGATAATCAAGGGAGAACAGCTAGACAACACTTACGCAATCCAAGGCAAGTATGAAATTGGAATTAATGGAATTGAAGAAAAGTAATTCAAAAAATTGAAGAAAAGTATGAAAAATTTTGAAATTAGAATTAATGGAATTGAAGAAAAGTAATTCAAAAAATTGAACTAAATTTTTTTTCAATTCTACCAATTCAAATTTCAAGACTCCAATTACATACCGTCAAACATAAACTTAAACTAAATTAAAGTTCTTGTGAGAAGAAACGATGGAAGAAGTGTAAAAAAAAGATAAAGAAGAAATATACAAATTTTCTTCGTTTGGTTGAAAGGAGACAAGAAGGGAAGGGAAATGATACTGAACGAGCCAGCATCACAAATTTTCACCCCCGCAGACGGAAGAGGGCAAAGAAGAGAAGTAAGACGGTTATAAAAAATTTAAATTACAATACTACCCTTCACAATTATTACATGAATCGGTATTAGCAATATACCTCCTTTCGCGCATAACAAACAAATTTAGGAATTTCCTCCCTCCTTTCTCTTTCATCCAATTAAACAAAAAAAGGAATGAAACAATCACTTTTCTAACGATATCTCATCCATCTATTCTTTTTTCTCTTCATCTAATTTTTTCTTTCTTACCAAACAAAGCATAAGACTCCTTTAGTTAGATGAAGATAAGAAAAACAATAAAGGAAATAAAATTTTTCTTAACATTTTAAAAGTTTGATTAGTTAAAATGACAAAAGAAAAAGTAAAGGAAGATTACTTTTCATAACCACCTAAGGCCCGTTCGGCAATTACAGTTGAAAGTTGCTTTGTGTTTTTCCTTTGACCCAAAGCAGAAGCAATATTTTTGCTTTAGAGTGTGTTCAACACTATTTCAAATCTTGTTTGATAACGCAAATTTGTTACAAGATTTTTAGAAGCAAAAACATGAAAACATGTTTAGTAAAAAGTGCTGCAAGTTTGAAATTTTGAATGGGACTAGTTAAAAATGTTAATTTAGAAGGGTTTTTTTTTTTTTTTTAAACAGTGTTTTGCTGCCGAAACAACCAAAAGTATCATTTTGATGCTTCTAATTTTGGCCTCAATTTTGAAAGTGCTTCGGTACTATTCAAATGACAACAAACATCATCAAACATGTTTCGTGTTTTTACTTCGTTATAGTACACTAGGAAAAACAAAAAATATGAAGCAAAAGCATTAGTCAAACGGGTCCTAACTTTCCTAAAAAATTTTACTACAAAAAAACACTTAACATTTTGATTTTTTGATAAAGTCTTGTGAACTTACAATAATACTTTTTCTTTTATGATAAGTTTCATATTATTCAAACTAAAAATTTGTCCTATTTTGAATTAAAAAAAAAATCACGTTAATAAAATACATGATGATTTATTAGTATTATTATTATTTACTTCCATTTTCTACTATTTAATTCCATCAGAGCCTAATGTTTTTCCAAGGTTTTAAAATTCAGTCACTTTTTGTATGTCAATTATTGGAAGGTGAGAAAAAAGGAAAAGATAGTTCAGAGGGAATTTATCTTTTGATTCATTATCATGAAAAATAAGAAGAAAAATTAGTGTACCAAAGAATCTTTTATTTATGCCATTCCCTTTTTCTTTATTTCTAGTTTCTAATTTTAAGTAGCAAAATACTATATGAAAAGATTGTGTCTTTAGCACGACAAAGTTGGTTGAATAATATCTTCTCCATCTCCGTAACCTTGAGTATCTTAAATGACTTAATTCAATAATTAAATTAAATTTATTTAATTTTAAATTTAAAACACCAACGCAATGCTTTGAAACCATAACATAAAAATGAAAATGAACCATTTAATAAAATTTTCAAATCAAAGGGACAAATTCTTTTTGTTTTTTATTTTTATTTTTTATTTTTTATTTTTTATTATTTTTTATTTTTTATTTTTTAACACAAAGGGACAATACAGAGACGGAGCCATTCAATGGTCAGTGGGAGCAATTGCCCCCACTTATTATTATTTTTTAAGTAATATATTCTATTAATTTATATTATTGATTTATATTTACACAATTATACTATCCATCCCACTAAAATTATTAAAAAATTATACTTTTACTCCTTTCTCATACAATTTTCTGGCCCAGTCCTTGATTAGAATTTAGAATAGCCCATGATTTATTAATAACATTACTCCTAATTTCCATGCCATTAATGGAGATCCTTCTCTCTTAATCAAAGTGGAGAGATCAAGTAAGTTCTGGAGGTAAGGAGAGGACTAATTTCTCATTCACCCAGAACTAATTTAAGAAAGTAAATATACCAAGTTCATCTCTTTATGAAGAAAAACAAGTTCGTCTATAAATTCGTAAATAATTTTTAGCAAAATTCATTTAAAATTTCGTCCAAAATTTATGTTTTTAATGTCTTCTTTCTAACAAATCAAAGTAGAGAGATTAAGTTCGTTCGGGAGAATAGGAGAAGACGCTAGAATACATAGCAATTACATATGTGATTACGCATGCTTGACTTTCCTCTTCACTACTAGATTCTTCTACCACTTTCGATCCTTACCCAAAACTCCCTTTAAATACACACTCACTAAAACCCCTACCCCAGTATCTCACTCTTACAGCTTTGTCTTCACGCAATTCCACTACCACACTCTTCATTTCAATCTTCTGATATTTCTCTCTCTTCACTCCTCAACCAACAATGGCGGATGAGGTGATTTTGTTGGATTCTCTTCCCAGTATGTTTGGCATGAGGGTAAGGATCGCACTGGCAGAGAAGGGCATCGAGTACGAACGCAAAGAAGAGGACTTGTCCAACAAGAGTCCTCTGCTTCTCAAAATGAACCCGGTTCACAAGAAAATCCCTGTTCTCATCCACAATGGAAAACCGGTCTGTGAGTCTCTCATAATTGTTCAGTACATTGATGAGGTCTGGAAACACAAGGCTCCTCTCTTACCCTCTGAGCCTTACCCTAGAGCTCAAGCTAGGTTCTGGGCTGATTATATTGACAAGAAGGTATTGTATATATATATATATTTTTCATTTTATTTAGATCACATCAAAGTTAAATCTCGCGGGTTTGTGATTTTTTTGTATTGCTTGTTATTGGGTCTCTATTCAAATTTGTTTCTGCTATAACAATATTAGTATGAAATTGTGGTCCGGTTTCAGTACCCTGCTAAATATATAAGGTCGTTAGGTTTAAGGGGTGGTACAAAATCACAGAAAATAACAGTTTGGCTATAACTGTGTGTAGTGTGTGTGTATATATATATTATTATATTTTTTGTTAATTTTGTAATTTGTTCTTGATTCACGGCATTTACAGTATAGATTTAAAACCAAAATTTTGCTTTCTCTGCAATTATTGAAACTATTCTGATATGGGTATATTTAACTTTTTCGTTTTCTCTTTAATTATGGAATATGTTCTTTAAATATTGAAAATATACTATAAGGGTGGGTATATATGCTGTGTTTTCTATGCTTTTTTTTTTTGGGGCAAGCGTTTTAAATGCTTTTTCTCTTTAAATATCATATATTATCTCTTCGATATTGAAAATACACTGTGTGGGTATACAATACATGCGTATATAATATAGTGAAATGGTGTTCGATATTTCAGATCTATGATGCTGGGAAGAAGATATGGACCACAAAAGGGAAAGAACAGGAGGCAGCCAAGGAGGAGTTCATAGAGTGCCTGAAGGTGTTGGAGGGAGTGCTTGGGGACAATCCATACTTTGGTGGTGAGAAGTTTGGGTTTGTTGATGTCGCTCTTGTGCCGTTCTATAGCTGGTTTTATGCGTACGAGACTTTAGGCAACTTCAGCATTGAGTCAGAGTGTCCACAGCTGGTGGCATGGGCTAAGAGGTGCATGGAAAAGGAGAGTGTGTCCAAGTCCCTTCCTGACCCCCACAAGATCTATGACTTCGTTTTGGGAATGAAGAAGAAGTTTGGCCTAGACTAGAAATATCAACCTCCGTTAATCTCTAAATGTAGTATTGTATTTTATAGATTTTTTTTTTTTTTTTTTTTTTTTTTTTTTTTTTTTGGGAGTCTTTGTAGTTCTTTCTCCTGAGAGTTTGTGGTTTTCTTAGTGTGTTTTTTCACTAAAAACTGTAGAATGGTTTGAGGGAACTCAACCCATAGAGAAGCTCAAGCTTGGGTGGTTTTGTTTGTTAATATAATAAAGGATGAAATGCAGCGTGCTTGGTTAAAGTTTGCTTGATTACATTTATTAAGTATAATGTCATGCATCCCACCAGAATTTTGTTTTTTTTTTTTTTTTTTCAATTTTTTTTTTTTTCTCGAATGCAGAGCCTCTCGGTTGTGAATAATACTTTCGCATGTGAAGAGATTATTTTCTTGATTCATCAGGTGTAAATCATACAAATTAATTTTACTGTTAGACTCAACAACCCCTACTTAAGTTTGAAACATTGGATTTATAAGAAACTTGGGTTTTGTTGGTGCCTTTAAATGAATAGTTCTTATATACGTCTAACAGAATCTTCTTTATAAATGTTTTGTCATTTTCAAAGTTCATGAATTAATAGGATGCATTTCAAAGTTTATGAACTTTGGTTTTTCCAAGTTAACCTTGATTTCCATGACCTTGTAAATCGCACTAATAAATAAAATTCACATTACTCAAGTTGATTCATTAATATCTTGGCTAAATTCATTGACAATTCTAAATTATACCAATAAGGCAGTAACTAGAATATGCGTACATATGATCAACCACACAACGTAATATAAAAATAAAAAAATGTATAAAATCCGGACATTTGCTTATAAATTTTGTTGTGATTGATTGGATCATTTAATCCTAAACTATGTAATAATTTTTTACATGCATTGCTTGAAATTTTTGAAGTGTAACATTATTCATATTAGAAATGTGTGTGTATGTATGTGAATACATACACTGCACATCATGTACACATAATTCTTTTTATATAGTTATATAAATGAATAAAGTATAGAAGTTGTAAATTTGGATATGTAATCCCAAATCATATGATAATTTTTCATCATCCTGTGTAACAAATTATATTTACGCTACTATAATGGTTAAAATTTTATTTTTTTCTTTTTTCTCAGTAAGTAGATTTTCTTTCAGGTTTATTTATAGGCGACACCTCTTAAGTTTGCCAAAAGTTCCCATGGATGCATAAATTGATTTTAGCCAACACTGATACCCTATTTCAGCTTTCCGTCACAGGGAAAAAGAAAACAACAAAAAACCAAAAAAAATAATTAAATAAAAGGAAGAGGAAGAAGAAGCAGCAGCAGCTTGAAATGTCATCTATGCCCTCAATTTTTTTCAATGCCTTTTAATAAATATCCTATGCCACTACCCCCATTTGAACATCATACGAGTGATACTAATTGGACCAAATTAACCATGTTGGCCACGGCTTCAACTTGGACGATGCCATTGGTGAAGAGGTGGGTTGAATCAGATCATTAAGAGTTGCACCATCAAACATTTAGACAATTTGGTCTTGAAGAATTCAAATTCAGGCAGAGATCTTCACTCCCATTCCAACTTTTTACATGTAAGCTTATATTTAAAAAATTGCCGCTTAGTAATATTTTTTTACCTTTTAAAGTAAAAGTTTAGGGTTAAATTCTCAATTTATGAAATTTTGTGACAAAATTCAGAGCGTTGGTGTAGTTAATCCTTTCTTTATATACTTACACACGCGATAACAAGGAAAAGTTCTCTTTCACCAAAAACGGAAAAACAAAATTGGATATCAAAAGCAAACAGAGCGTTAATTTTAGTAAACAGTCAATAGATGACAATGACACGAAAATGGAGATGGAGGCAAATTTTGTCAGCAAGTCAATAAATTTATTTGTTTCTCGTTTGAAGGTTGAAGCCTTAAAGGGAGGGGGAGAGAGAGAAAAGGGGTAGGCGTGGGCGTGGTTAGGGATGGCAAAATATCTTGCCTTATTAGGTACTCGCCCCACTCTATCTCATTTAGAATGGTTATGGAATTGATTAAATGGTTTTGGGGCAAAGATGGAGGTTATAATTGATAACTTGCATGATTTTGGGGTGACAGAGAAGTTACCCCACCCCGTTCATTTATAGTTATAAATTATAATTTTATCTTTATATTTTATTTTATATTCAATAATATTAGGTACGATTAAGCAAATCTTAGTTTATTTTTTTTCAATCACTAAATATTCTTTTGTATTATTCTTTTTTCCTATGATGTTCCAACAATAATTTTAATCTAAGTTTCAATTAAGAAGTTGAATCTTGTTTTTATCCGCATAAGAAAAAATTAATTATGATCATAGTTGAAATTTTATTTTATTATTTATTTTTGCTATATTCGTATTACAATTATGAAAATACTCTACAAAACCTACCCCCACCCCGCCCCATATGACGACCTCTGTGGGCGAATGCAATACACGGGACAATTTACCATATTGGCAGGTTATAAGGTGTCATGATCCCATATTGTTTGAGAAAAGAAAAGTATTATATGTAAGGTTCAACACTCTTCTATGACACAAAAGCCATAATGGCCATGAACTTATCAAAACTCCAAAGTTAAGTATGTTTATTCTGGAGTAGTACCAGGATGTGTAACTTCCTAAAAAATCTCTGGTTGGGGGAGCAAAAAACGAACAATATCGTGTCTGGTGGAGTTTGGATCGTTACAAATGGTATCAGTGCCAGAATCCAACCGGAAGTATGGCCAACAAGGACGTTGGCTCCATAGGGATGATAATGAAGACTTTTGTGGGCGGGGTGTGATGTGGGTAGGTGCGAGACACTGGACGAGCTACAACATTGGCAAACTACAAGGTATCATAATCACACATCGCTTGGAGAAGGTGAAGTGTTATATATAAGGTTCAATATTCTTTTATCACACAATGCATTTTAAAGTCATGATAGCCGTGAACCTATCAAAACTCTAAAGTTAAGCGTGCTTACTCTGGAATAGTACCCGGATGGGAGACTTCCTGAGAAATCTTTGGTCCCTTGTCTGGGGGTAGGGTGAGGATTGTTACACTCCTGCCCCGCTTATTAAACGATTTTAGGGTGAGAATGGGAGTAGTTTTTCTAAACGAGGACGAGGATCCCTACCCCGAACCGCCCAGTTGCCATCCTTAGGGGTGGGCATGGTGATTGGTGGCCCTATTAAATTACCATATAATTTGTAACCTATTAATAGATGGATACATTTAAAAGTAGGGAAAATGTAAGGAAGTGGATTATTCATATAACTTTTAAAATATTGACAAATGCCCTTCCTAATAATTATTTTTTTTCTACCTCATGAGTACTTAATATTTGATACCGCAGCTAATGGACAATCAATAATTATTTTGAAAATTCATTATTTTTTTTATGGACAATTAGAGAGTTTTGTGACTATTTATTGATTGGGTCTCACACAATTCTTCTAAACAGTTGCCTTGCGCGCTTCCAGTATCATGCTTTGGCTCCCACTCTAACCCTATGTAATTTAAATTTTGGCTCCCACTCTAACCCTATGTAATTTAAATTTTACTATTTTTACGATCCCAGTATAATGTTGTTCCTACTATATGTGTAGACATAAGTACTCCATCTTAATCATTCCGTAAGTACTCCATCTTAGCACACCGGGATATTGTATACTTACCCACAAGAAAATAATCACGAGTTAATTTTATTTAATTATTAAACTGAAACAATTTATAAAATATATTAAAAGTGAAATAAAATTTTAAAAAATTAATTTTCATACCGAAATCTCAATCCTATTTGCCTGTCCAAAGTAGTTTATATCCCTTCGATGCAATTAAATAAAACCCATGTGTCTGAGCTTATCCTTCACTTCGAGTCTTCGACAAATATGTTAAAAAAAATAGGCAGTGTAAAATATCTCTGCTCTAAATTTTTTTTGGTTATTGCAGATGCATGTCATGGTCAACTACCATGTGCACCCGCCAATAAAATCACCTTGAAATAGAAAATTTATATTTCCCAGAACAATGGCCAATTACAAATGTGATTACGAATGCCCACAATTTTCCTTGACTATTTGTCTGCCACTTTCAATCCCTACCCTAAACCCACTACTAACCCACTTTAAATACTCACGCTAAACGTGTTGGCCATTTCATTCTCACATCTTTTATCTTCTTCACTTCCGGATCTCTCATCTCTCTCTTCGTTCATCGACCAACAATGGCTGAAGAGGTGGTTTTGTTGGATTTCCTTCCGAGTATGTTTGGCATGAGGATCAGGATCGCACTGGCAGAGAAGGGTGTTGAGTACGAATACAAAGAAGAGGACTTGTCCAACAAGAGTCCTCTGCTTCTCAAAATGAACCCGGTTCACAAGAAAATCCCTGTTCTTATCCACAATGGAAAGCCGATATGTGAGTCTCTCATAGCGGTTCAGTACATTGATGAGGTCTGGACACACAAAGCTCCCCTCTTGCCCTCTGATCCTTACCACAGAGCTCAAGCTAGGTTCTGGGCTGATTATATTGACAAGAAGGTATCCTATTTCTCTTGTGGGTTTGTGATATTGTCTATTGTTTGTTTTTGGGTCTCTGTTCAAATTTGTTTCTGCTATAACAATATTGGAGATTTTAAACATTTGTTGCTTTAATTTTGTTTTCTCTACATTTTCTTCTATATATTGTGTGAAGTTGTGGCCTCAATTTTGTTTCAGGCGACCGGAATATGAAATTTTTTTGACCCGTTTTCTTTTTCCGGGTTGTAGACTCTCATGTAATCCAGTATATAAGTATGGGGTTTGTGGTGGGTTGGGAGAACACTGAATGTCCTTATTATAGGGTTTTGGGCTGAAATTTGTATAGGATTTTCATAGGATCTTCACGGTGGTGGTTTTATGACGAACCATGCTTATTTTTTCATCAAATCATCACCAGATTTTATGCCTAACCATGTATATTTGTAATAAAATATTGAAACTATACTACTATGGGTATAATTTTTTTTATTTTTTGTATTTTTAAACGATGGGTATACTTTGGCATTTCATCCTTTTATTATACAGTGTGTGGGTATAAAATATATATTAAAATGTTGTTTTTTGTTTTTATATTTCAGGTGTATGATGCTGGGAGGAAGATATGGTCCACAAAAGGGGAAGAGCAGGAAGCAGCCAAGAAGGATTTCATAGAGGTACTGAAGGTGTTGGAGGGAGTGCTTGGGGACAAGCCATACTTTGGTGGTGAGAGCTTTGGTTTTGTTGATGTTGCTCTTGTACCTTTCTATAGCTGGTTTTATGCCTATGAGTCTTGTGGCAACTTCAGCATTGAGTCGGAGTGTCCTAAGCTGGTGGCATGGGCTAAGAGGTGCTTGGAAAAGGAGAGTGTGTCCAAGTCCCTTCCTGACTCCCAGAAGATCTATGACTTTGTTTTGGCTCTGAAGAAGAGGTTTGGGCCAGATTAGGAATATCAAGCTAGGGTCTCTTTAGTGTGGTGTGTTCTATGGTTGTGTTTGTGTTTGTTTTGGAGTCTTTGTGGTTCTTTTTCCTGAGAAAGTTTGTGGCTTTGAATGGGTTGAGAGAGCTCAACCCATAGAGAAGCTCCAGCCTTGTGTGGCTTTGGTTGTTAATATAATAAAGGATGAAATGCTGTTTTCTTGGTTAAAGTTTTACTTTATTAGTGTTATTGCAAAGCATATTCATCAATTTTGTCGTGGAAAATGATTTAGAGCATGAAAGTCGGATAACTCCAACTAATTTATGTGAGTTGGGTGATATCCTCACACTGTCTTTAATATTGTTGGCATCATGATTATATATGTCCCTACTTGCATAAAATAATTAATTCAAAATTTTAAGTAATTTTTTTCCAAGGCACCAATGAAGCTGAACATAGTATAGGCGTTTTGTTTTCTTTTCAATGATTTTTATCTCCAAGGGTCAAGTTTGAATTCAAAAGGAAATTACACATAGTAAGCCACGTTATTCACAAATATGACCATTTCATTGTGCATTATCAGTGTCTCTGCATGATTGATTTACCTGGTATGTTGGAGAGCATAGATGGGTATGTTGGAGAGCATAGATGGTAAGCAGTCAACGTGAGATGATGAAGAATGTACAATATACATTATTGAACAGTACCAATCCTCACTGTGGTGCTCAATTTCTAAACATTGATGCCAAGTACCACTGCAAAGGTACCCTGAATCTATCATATTGCTCTAATGAATTTCAGAACATAATTCGGCATAATATACAACAGTGTCTGAGAGTTTGAACCGGCGATGAAATGGACTTACTAATCTTGTTGGTGATACCATTCCATCTCTACACTACGGAAGAAAATGCCCGTGCAAATTTTAAGCCATTTCATTCAATCTTCCACGCACAGAGAAAAAGGCAAAAGTGTGATGCTACTGAGTGGCTCTGAGCCGAATAATACTTGCTATTGCTGCTGCTGCTACACTCGCTGCCTTCACCATTACAATTGCTTTCCTCTTTGTCACTGTCTGATTCGGGCGCACCTGGCTTGAAGATGAACAAACCATGGCCTGTGCCAGGGTTACAGAACAGCCAAGAATGGACATCCCAGAAAATTTGCACCGGTAGTTTGTCAACGAAAACGGTTTGGTTACCCCTGAATTTCCACTGCAAGTTCCTAATGTGAATCAACACGATCCCATCAATGCTAATCCACATTTCGGGCTCTCTAGGACCTGTCGTTGAGCTCTCCACAACAATGTCATGGTCTTTTCTCTTGTAATCAAACTTGGCCCTTGTAGAGAAACTCTTCTTGCCAAATACATGTTCCTTTTTGTAAAACAACACTGCTTCGACTAGTGCAGGCCTTGATTTGGTTCTCTTATAAGCCTTTTTCTTGTAATCCCCTATCAGCAACACCACCTCTTCATCAGAGACTAGGGCGACGTAGAAATCTGTACATGGCTCAGGACCAGCAAACTTAGCCGAGCGCAGGTCCCAGTAGACATCCACTTGGTTATGGTCAACTTCAAAGGTTTTGTACCCTTTTTTGCTCCAAAAGTGCCATGGCTTGAGGTCAATTTTGCAGGACTGATGATGGTCACTTTCGACGCTATCAACAGAAATGCTGAGAGTATGGTTCATGAGGTTCTTGCACCACAGGACTGTGACATTGCGCCAAAAACCGGCAAGGTGAGCCTGATAGACGCAGGTGACAGTACTCTGAGCCGTCTTAATCGTCACCGGCTCATTTGTAGATGATTTCTGCTCCGGAGGGGGTTGCTGGTTGGATGTTGATTGAGCTTTCGAAGAAGAAATATGATAAGACATTGATCGAATTAATTTTGTTTCCTTCAGCACAACAACAGGTTTGATCCTATAATTTTAAGGCCAAAACCAATGTGATTACAAATTCTGTGTTTTTTTTCCACTCTATAGATTTAAATATTGCACCACAAAACAATAGATGGCCCTATTGAGGCCTAAATACATATATTCTTCTTTGATCATTAGATGGAACAATAGCTGCAGATTACCTTGAAAACAAAGCTTTTCGAAAATGCAGTAAAAACTGAGCCATTTGAAGCCACACCCCCACGATTGAAAATGATGAAATATGCCTTGAAAGAATGGGTCAAAACTATATGATAACAGAGATTGATCCAACCGTTTGACGCGTTTGTTTGCCGGAGGAACAATGTGCTTTGTGATGTTAAAGTTTACCAGAAATTGGTTTTAGGTTTTCTTGTTTTCGTTTATTTTCCTGTGACATAAGAATTTTGTTTGTGGAGGAAAAAGTCTCCAGAGAGGGCAGAGGCTGAGGGCAAGAGGTGCCCGAGAAAGGAGGGCTTAAAATAAGAAAAAGCTCCCACAGGTTCCAACTTTAACTATATGGTATTGGTATATAAAGTGTATATGCATGCCTCTTCTAGATCAAACCGTTTTTTGGGTTTTAAGGCTGTTCTGTTTTGTCTTATCAAATTCTTAAAACTACCCTCAAAATTTTAGGAAATCAAAGGGTTTAGATTGATTCCCAATTAGAAGTAAGATTTATTTATTTATTTATTTATTTTTAAATAATATAAGAACCTTCCTGTGTTAGTTGTCTTCAAAATTAGAAGGTATAAAAATGGTCTTATGTTTTGATTCCTTTGAAGTGAATAGAGAGTTACATGAACCATGCCAACCTTAACCCAATTTTGTCAGCTTAATAAAGATGAAAACAATCTTTTTGGTTTCCTTTGATTTCTTGGGAACCAAACAATTACAACCTTTTCCCTCCACGACAAAATCAGTTCAAAGTAAACAAGTCAGACCTGCACAGCCAGCATTAGATTGAAAGAACCATAAAACACTGTTGAATTTGAATATTCATTTGTGTATTGTATATATATATATATATCCCTGATATAAATTTGTATATTCATCTGCGTAAATTTATTTTGTGTGATAAATTTTTTGGTACTGAGTTTGAGAAAAATTATCGACTGGCCCACCATCCCAAGTCCATAGTGTATTTTAATTGCCCCAAACCCTAGCCTGTAAAATACTTCAAACGGGGTCTTTTTAATATGGCACCGAATCAACACTTTGAATTTGTAATTGGAATTAAGAACTTTGTAGTCTAGTTGTATCACCTCTACTTCTTAAAGTGAATAGTGATGACTCGGTCCCCAAAATTCTAAAGTGTGTGTGTGAGTATGGTGTGTGTATTTTTTACCAATGACAAACAAAAGAAAAAAAAAAATTTGCAAATTTTCAATTAAATTTCACCCAATTCCAAATTCAAAGTATCGATTCGATACTCTCAAACATAAATATAAATGAAAATTTAAAATCATCACACCACATATATTCTATATATCATATTTGCATATTTCAATAGCAAAGAAAAACACTTTACAATCAATTTGTAAAATTTTTAAAATTTTAAGTACCTGGAACTAGCTTAGCCCTCTAACAATGGTTTCTGGTCCTGTGTGTAATTTTTATATTCATTTGTGTATAATAGAGCCACTAACATGTAGGGCTTATTTGTTTATATCAATAGACCCACTAACCTGTAGGGCTTTGGGTCCACGACCCGATCAAATTGGGCCTTGATTTTGGGTACAATCAGCCATCATATTGGGCAAATTGCTCATTCGGGGGCTGAGCCAATTTAATGGTGCACAAAAAATCGTACCATGGAACAAAATTGTATTGTTGGTTCGGTTCTATCATGAAATCACTCGTTCATTTCCTAAAATGTTGATAACAATTTCGATAATATTATATAACCCAAATATTGATTTTTTATTGGTAAAAAATTTAACTTACCATACACCATAATACGTAGAATAATTATATATATCAAGTTTTAGCTTTTCATTTGATTAATATCAATAGAGTAGTATGAACACATGAGTCTTGATCTCTTGTTTTTCGTGGAGTAAGAAAATCAATTCACATTTTTTATACGGACAATTAGATTAAATTTACAGTCATTTTCCAAACCAACCTATATCATTTCCTTTTAACATAAAAACATTATTTTTAGTTTTCATATTTAATTTTATTATTACCACCTACTGACCAATAAAAGGTAATTACCAAAATAAAAATAGAAAAATCTTTGCTACTGCATTATCAAAACACTAGTGCCGGCAAATTCAACAAGAAAATTTGTGCCAAACACAACTCCTCAAAATCTAGTTGAGTTAGTTTGAGAACACTGAGACTTCTTAAAATTGAAATAGAAAAAAATTTTGTTCAAACTTTAAATGAAAATTTCTCCAATTTCAACCCCAATGTATCAATTCAATATTCCAAAATGCAACATTAAAGTATATTTATTCGTAAATTTACTTATACTGGACAAGTATATTTGAATTTTAGTATGTGCATATGCAAAAAAGATCACATACTATTGAACACTGTGATATACAGTAAGCATGACAACAAGATGTTTATTAGAAAACGCTCTAATATCGTGCTACCGCATTATGCTTAAGTTTGATTGCAAAATTAAAAGATACGGCTAATAAATAGATATTATTTTTGAAAAACAAATTTTAGTAATATATACACAGGTATTATCTTTCTTTCAAAGATTTCTATTTTTATGTTGGTAATTACCTTTTATTGCTACATAGGTGGTAATCGTAAAATTAAATATGAAAACTAAAAATAGAGTGCTAAAAATAGGGTGAGAGTGGTTTTGTGTTAAAAGGAAATGATATGGATTGGTTTGGAAGATGACCGTCAAATTTAATGTAATGTTGTGATATATATATATATATATATATATATATATATATATATATATATATATTTAATGCTAAAAGAAAAAGAAATAAAGCAAGTGGGCCCCACCCATGTTTTAAAACACACAAAAAGTGTATAAGGCATTACATGATCCACGACCCAACTGTTTTCTCTCTCTTTCTCTGCTGCATCTTTCCCCTCTCGGCATCTCACTGCTTCTTTTTCTTTTTACAATCTCAAAGCTTGATCTAGCTTTAAACTTTTGGATTTTGGTAGAGCATTGTGAAGCAAAGTTGGAGAGTTCGTCAAGGCCTTTAATTTGATAGGAGCCAATCATCATTTGGTGCACTCTAGGGAGTTCAAAATTCTAGGGTTCTTGGGCTTGGATTTGGGGATTTTGGGAGTTTTCACTTCCATTGAGGTAGGGGTGTTCTAATCTACAATTTCTTAGTTTTTTTGTGAATTTTTCCCCTTAAATTTGATCATATGCATGCTAATTTTGATTATCTAGTTTGTGGTTGAAGTATGTTTAATTAAAATGCTAAATGTGTTCCATGTGTTATTTGAATTCATATATATGACTAGATTTATTACGGTGATTGAACATGTTTGGTGTTGACATATTGTATGTCCTAAGATTATGTATTTATTTATTTATTTATTGCTTTGAAAGAAAATGATGCTATGGTCAATAAATAAATAAAAGAAATGATTGCTTAGAAATTTCTATTAAATTGTGATAATGATGTAAATAAAATGTGTGAGAGCCTATGGTTGAATTGATAAATCGAAACATGCACATTCATGCATTCATTGGGAAAGAGAAAGGAATATATATATATATATATATATATTTTTTCTTTGAACAAACGAAATTATTTTGGGGAAAATATTTTTTTAAAGGAGTTTGCGAAAACCGGACCCCTAGGAGGCGCCTAGTGGTCCGTGGTGTTAGTGTAGTCTAGAAGGGATAATGGTTGAGCTAACTAGGCCGAATGCGACGCCTTGGAGGTGCCTTGTGGTCGTGGATAGTTAGTCAACCCTCCATTCGTGACGCCTTGGAGGTGCCTTGGGTCGGATTACACTAACGGTTTTGGAAGTTGAAACGGAAATGTTTCGGAAAATGGGGAGTAACGTTTGCATATTGCACTTCATGACATTGTGGTAAACTTGTGATTGGGTGGTATTTGTTACATACTTGTTATTGTATTTAAGAGTGTGTGTTTCCTTATATCATGATCCCTTTCACTTTTTATCTATTCCTTGTATGGATTCACGGGGATATAAGAAGTGTGTCTTAGACACTTCCTACTGAGCTTATGCTCACCCCATTATTTCTAACATTTTTCAGGACATGGAAAAGAGGTGGCGGACGACGATCCACCACAATTTTAGACGAGCACGGAGACCTATTTTATTTTATTTTTTGCTATCTTTTGTATTAAAACTCTCTAATATTTTGTAAATGTAATATTAACTAACTCGTAAAACTTTAGTTTAATTAGTATAATGTTGTAAGCCATGAACTTTTAAATTCTAACTACGCTTTTTGGACTGTAACTTGATGTAACCAACGTATGTTCCTTGTTGGATGAGATGGAGGAATGGGATTTTGTATGTATGTAGTCACTTTGGAGATATGATATAATATATGTATATTGCGTTGGGACAGGATATGTTAGATTTAAGGTCCAGTGAGGCCATTGTAATTATTTTTTTGTATTTCAACAGGTTGTTTAGAGATATTTTCTGCGGAGGTCATGCCGAAATTTTTTATAGATTTTTATTATTATTTTGGTACCCCATTTGGGTCGTTACATTTAATTTAACGATTTATATAAAAGGTGTGGATTAATTTTCTTGTCCTTAAGACGCACGTACCCCTAAATTTTTTCCATCTCTTATATAATATATGTATATATTCTTGGAAAGGTGTAAAATTCAGGGGTGTGTGTATATGCTATATATATTTCCTTAAAAATAATAATAACAATAATAATAATAAATTCCCTATAATATGTGTGTATATTTTTGGAAAGGTGTACAATTTTCTCCCATCCTTACCATATATGTTTCCTTAAAAAAAATATTAATTAATTGTTGAGTATGTGATATTTGACCGATTTGTTAGGCAGAATCTACATGCTACAAAAAGATAAATTAATATGACAATCAAATGGTCTCACTAGCATATCTATTAAAACAACATAAATTTTCAAAAACAAAATTACCCTTATATTGCCTTCTTGTTTTCATCTTCATTTTTTCCGATCACTTAACTGAGATCATCTTGGGAAGAAAACCCTTTTCACCAAGTACGTCTCCTAGTTATGATTGAGAATCCATGATGGTAATGGAAAAAAGGGTAAGAGAATAAAATAATGAACAATTTGACTATGAGATAGAGATGGATGATTAGGAGATATTCCTGGTAATTGACATTTTTTGCTAATTGGGATTCTGTAAAGATAGTTTTGTCTTTAAAATTTTATCTTTCTAAGTGTAGTATATCTATAGTGACACATCACCATCGGCTTGAGTTTTGGGCCTCAATATTTGGTGTCAGTATCATTTTTCTTAATTGTTTCATTATATTTTAGGTTTCGGGATTTTAGGGTTCCATCTAATGATCATTATTTTTGGGATGAGGTAAATATGTAATTCCAAAAATATCAATCTCCACCTCTCTCTCTCTCTCTCTCACTCTCTTTGTATAAATACTTCATTAACACTTATTTATATAAAAGACTAGTGCAGTCAAAACATAAAAGATAATTTATAATAAAAAAAATTATTTTATAAATAAATAATTAACAACTTGTTTTAAATAGTTGATATTTAATTTTATAAAGTCATTATAAATATATATTTATAAGAGTTAATAATAAAATAATTGTGATCCAAAACTAAAATAAACAATCACCAATGGAAATAATGTAGTTTCTATATGTAAAAAATTAGATGTGATCTAAAACTAAACAAAACAATAATCAAAGCAGGAATAATATAGCTTCTAGATGTGTAAAAAATTAAATATGATCCAAAACTAAACTAAACAATAATCCTAATTAAAAATCCTAACTTTGCATTTACAATTTTTGAATCTTCTCTCTCAAGATTCTTCTTTCTTTTGATTCTTCTTCAGCTGGAAACCCTAGAAGCAAAGCAAAGAAAATGAATTGAAAATAAGAGAAATAAAAAATTAAAAAATTCAAGTTACATAAAAATATAAAATACTTTCATGATACTTCTGAAAAAATAAAAAATAATTTACAATACAAACTAAATTTACAAGATCAACCATTGTTGTCACCAATCAAACATTAAACAAAGAATAAAAAATAAAATACTTTCATGGAGTTTATGAGAAAATAAAAATAAAAACTAAAGAAGAAAAACAAAATCCTAATGAACTTAACAGATGAAGCAACCATTGATGCCTTTTCAGAAAAAAAATTTGAACACCGATTACAAAGAGATTACCGAATAAAAAATAAATAAAATATTTACTATTGTATTATTTATTTCAATACATACATAGAGACATAACTTTCCTTAACTCTTATCAAACATGTATTGATTTCTAATTCTATTTCTTCATACTAAAATTAAAATTAGTAGAAGAATTCTTATCAAACATGTATTATTTTCTAATCTATATAATACATGTATTATCATTTTTATATATAATAGCCTTGAAGAATTATGAGTATAATAGGATTTATTTTAATTTGTAACTTATTTTATTGAAACACCTTGTATTTTTAAAAGTAGAGTATAATATGATTTATTTTAATTGGTAACTTATTTTATTTATTTATTTATTTATTTTACCTATTTTATTTTAATTGATAACTTGTTTTATTATTTGATAACTTGTTTTGGCCTTAAAAAACTCCGACTATAATATAATTTATTTTAATTGATAATCTATTTTATTATTTATTTATTTTTAATAATGGTTTGAAATTCTTGATACCTTGAACTTTTAATAATAAGTATTAGATATAGATATAATATAATTGTACCTGTCAATACATCTTCTCTAAGATTTCTTCACTCGACAAAATGAAAATGAAAATGAAAAGGAGCTACAAGAACTGAATTTACTTTTTAATAAAAATACTTGCACCCTTTTTATTAAAAGCAAAAGCGGCTGATTATTTAAACAATAAAAGTTTTATGTAGTCATTTCACAAACCAAAATCAAATTTGGCTTCATTAATAAAAACATAAAATAGCTTTGCTTTATGTGTAAATCCCGTAAAAAGAATTGCTACTCATATTAGTTTAGTCCATGTGTCGTCATGGTCACCTTTTAGTATGCTTTCTGTGTAGTGTGTGCTGTAGATGAGGCAGGCACAAACAGCAAACAAGTTCCAGTCCTCCCACTAACCAGTAATGGCACTTCTCAAATTCAACACCCAAATCATCACATTCCTGACCACTATTTCTACACACACAACACACACACACAAAACAAACAAAAGTAGGCAAAGCAACACTAAAATTCCCAAAACCCCCCATATTGTTAGGCCCAGCAAAAATGGCGGAGAAAGATTGTAATCTCGAGTAACTTACACGTCTCGTCTCTATCTATACATATATCTATATATGATACAGACCAACCCAATTTGACCCATCAATGGTTTGTGAGTCCAACCATTACAAAATGATAATCATGAGATCGACGAAGAAGATAGAAGAAAGAATGAGAAAAGAGAAGTGGTGGGTGTGTGAAGTTGCAGCATTCACATTCACTCACTCACTCGCTGCTGTAAAGTATAAAAAGTGTTGTTGGGTTGACTCCCAAATGGGCTTTGCCTTTTCATCGTGACTCTCACGGTCCATCTCCATCTGCTTGCCTTCATCAATCAGTCCTGCACTTTCTCTCTCATCTTCAAGGTTGGCACATGTCTTTCTCTCTCTAGACTTACCTTATCTCTTCCTGCCCTCTTATTGCTCATCATCTCCCTTATTTATTTCCGCACTTTCCTAAAGGATTTTATGCTCCCTTCTTCATCAATCAATCCCCTTTTACTGCTTTCTTTCTTTTAATAATAGGTTTCTCTGCATGTGTGTGACTGGGTTATTTCTAAATTAGTTTGGCTTAATCATGTGCTCATTCAAATCCCTATTTTTCGTGATTTACATGCTATATTAATTCCTCTGCCATTTGATTTGATTTGATTTCATCACCCAGTTCTTGCTTGTGATTTTCTTTTCTTTTCATTTCGAATTGGGTTTTTCAATTTTGGTGATTTATTTTTGTTTTTGCAACTCTTAGAAGTTCATAGATGATTGATTAGCCTTTCGATCGTAATATTGTATTGTCATACTTGTCTGTGTTGTGTTTTTGCTATACAGTGGTCATGTTTTTAGTGCGTCAAAAGGGATGTTTCAATCTCAGGCTTTGTCATAATGAATACTAGGAGGCTTTATTGTGATTTGGGGGGTAATTAAGTACTATACTTTAATCTTTTGTCCCGGTGGTCTTTGATTCCCCTTTTCTTTCTGTTGCCCCCACATATTTTTCTTTTGTCTCCTAGAAATGGCAAGGCAGTGGAGTTCTCAAATCCGAAAGCTATTGCACTTGCTACTGATGATTTGTTTAACGATGATTGTTGTCTCCGTCGAGTCGTTAAACGAAGAGGGGACTATTCTTTTGGAGTTTGAACGATCCCTTGGTGACCCCAATAATAATCTCCAAAGCTGGAATTCATCAGATTTGAATCCTTGCAATTGGAGTGGTATAGGGTGTAACAATGATTTTAAGGTAGCTTCTATACACCTAAGTTGCCTTAATTTGTCAAATAATTTGCCATCGACCATTTGTAAGCTCCCTTACTTAACTGAGTTGAATGTGTCAAAGAACTTCATTTCCGGTCCCATTCCCGATCTTTCTTCTTGCCATAATCTTGAGATTCTCGACCTTTGCACCAATAGGTTTCATGGAGAGTTTCCAACCCAACTCTTAGAAATCACCTCCCTCCGAGAGCTTTATTTGTGTGAGAATTATATGTATGGAAAAATTCCAGAGGAGGTTGGAAATTTAAAATTGCTCGAAGAGCTTGTCATTTACAGTAACAATCTCACTGGGATGATCCCCTTGTCAATTCGTAAGCTGAAAAGTCTTAGGATTATCAGGGCAGGTCTAAACTTGTTATCAGGTCCAATTCCTGCAGCAATTAGTGAATGTGAGAGCTTGGAGGTACTCGGGTTGGCACAGAACAAACTAGAGGGTGCATTTCCTGTAGAGCTTCAGAGGCTTAAAAATCTAACCAACTTGATCCTTTGGCAGAACCTTTTGTCTGGTGAGATCCCTCCTGAGATTGGGAATTTTAGTAGCTTGCAGCTGCTTGCTTTGCATGACAATTCCTTCAGTGGAAGCCTCCCCAAAGAGCTTGGAAAGCTAACCCGGTTGAGAAGATTGTACATTTATACCAACCAGTTAAATGGAACAATTCCGTGGGAACTAGGGGGTTGTAGAAGTGCAATTGAGATAGATCTTTCTGAAAATCTGTTAAGTGGGTTTATTCCAAAAGAGTTGGGTCAGATTCCTAATCTCCGCTTGCTTCATCTTTTCGAGAACCTACTGCAGGGAAGTATACCCAAGGAGCTTGGACAATTGAAACAGCTGCAGAAGTTAGATCTGTCCATAAACAATTTGACAGGTACAATCCCATTTGAAATTCAGAATCTCACATATTTGGGAGATTTACAACTTTTTGACAATCATCTTGAGGGTAATATTCCTCCTCTCATTGGAGCTAAAAGTAACCTCTCTATTCTTGACTTGTCTGCCAATAATCTCATAGGTAGCATACCTGCCTACCTTTGTAAGTTCCAGAAGTTGATGTTTTTGAGCCTCGGGTCAAATAGATTAGCTGGAAACATTCCCCATGGTATAAAAACTTGCAATTCCCTAGTGCAGCTAATGTTAGGAGATAACCTCTTTACAGGAAGCCTCTCTGTTGAACTATCAAAACTTCACAACCTTTCTGCCCTTGAACTCTATCAGAACCGATTCTCAGGGCTTATACCCCCAGAAATAGGACAGCTAGGAATTTTAGAGAGGCTGCTCTTATCAGATAACTATTTTGTTGGGCATATCCCTCCTGAGATTGGAAAATTGGTGCACCTTGTTACTTTCAATATCTCATCTAATCGGCTCTCTGGGAGTATTCCTCATGAGTTGGGGAATTGTATTAAGCTACAGCGGCTTGATGTTAGCAGGAACTGGTTCACTGGGTATCTTCCAAATCAACTTGGCAAGTTAGTGAATCTAGAATTGCTTAAGCTGTCTGATAATAGATTGTCTGGGCCAATACCTAGTACCTTAGGGGCTCTGGCACGACTTACCGAGTTGCAAATGGGGGGTAACATTTTTTCTGGCAGTATTCCTGTTGAGCTGGGTCAACTTACTACTCTCCAGATTGCCCTCAACATTAGTCATAACATTCTTTCTGGATCAATTCCAGACAACCTGAGGAACTTGCAGATGCTGGAATCTCTCTACCTGAATGACAATCAACTTGTTGGTGAAATTCCTGCTTCAATTGGTGAGTTGATGAGCCTCCTGGTATGCAACCTTTCTAACAATAATCTCGTGGGAACAGTGCCAAACACCCCCGTTTTTCGAAGGATGGATTCTAGCAATTTTGATGGAAACAATGGGTTGTGCTGGCCGGGTTCCTACCATTGTCATCCATCTACAACCCCATCATTTACTCCAAAGTCAAGCTGGTTAAAAGACGGTTCTTCAAAAGAAAAAATAGTGAGTGTTGTCTCTGTGATTGTCGGACTGATCTCTTTGACTTTTATTGTCAGCGTTTGTTGGGCTATAAAGCGCCGAAGGCCTGCTTTTGTTTCACTTGAAGATCAATTGAAGCCTGACATGTTAGATAGCTATTACTCTCCCAAAGAAGGATTTACATATCAGGACCTTATGGAAGCTACTGGAAATTTTTCGGAATGTGCAGTCATAGGAAAGGGAGCATGTGGGACTGTCTACAAGGCTATGATGGGTGATGGTATGGTGATTGCTGTTAAAAAGTTGAAGTCCCGTGGAGAAGGAGGCAGTGTTGACAGCAGCTTCCAAGCTGAGATATCAACTCTTGGAAAGATTAGGCACCGTAATATTGTGAAGCTCTATGGCTTCTGCTACCACCAGGACTCTAATCTTCTCTTGTATGAGTTCATGTCAAAGGGGAGCCTAGGAGAACAACTTCATGGGACTGGGCAAACATGTCCACTAGACTGGAATGCTCGATATAGAATTGCTCTTGGTGCAGCAGAGGGTTTGTGCTATCTGCATTACGATTGTAAGCCCCAAATCATTCATCGTGATATAAAATCCAACAACATTTTACTGGATGAAATGCTTCAGGCGCATGTTGGTGATTTTGGCTTGGCAAAGTTGGTTGACTTCCCATACTCAAAATCCATGTCTGCTGTTGCTGGTTCATATGGCTACATTGCCCCTGGTAACAATATGACCACGCAAATTTTCAGTACCTTTCTCTTTATTCACATTAAGCATGCATTCTTCACTCCCATACATCATGCTATTAGGATTATGTACCCTGAAAAATCTTTTTTTTGATGCAAACTATTCTGTACATTTTTTAATAAATCAGCAGTCACATGCTTCTACATTTCCTGTTTATGTGAATTCATCCTTAGAAATTGTAATCTGCTGTAGGTGGTAGGATGAGGACTAGTATCACTGCCTCACAACTTTATGGAGTTTTTTTGACATAAGAATGACTTGGTTTTCATTGCAGAATATGCTTACACAATGAAAGTAACAGAGAAATGTGACATCTACAGTTTCGGCGTTGTCTTACTGGAACTGATTACTGGGAGGTCTCCAGTTCAACCCCTCGATCAGGGAGGGGACCTTGTCACTTGGGTCAGAAGATCGATTCATGATGTTGTCCCCACATCAAAGATATATGACAAGCGGCTGGATCTGAGTTCAAAAAGGACAATTGAAGAGATGTTCCTAGTTCTCAAGATTGCAGTGTTCTGCACCAGCACATCCCCACTTAATAGGCCAACAATGAGAGAGGTAATTGCAATGTTGATAGATGCTAGGGAGGCTGTAAGCATTTCACCATCATCTCCAACATCAGAAACCCCTTTAGATGAAGATGATTCACATAAAGGTTAGAAAACCTGGTCTCTCTCTCTCTCATTCAGAGACCTAGCATTATAGTTGATTATCATCTATAATAAATGACTAAATGAGTATGAAATGATTGACTAGCTGGTCCTTATAATCAAGTCAGGCTGCGTAAATGAAAATTCATAATTTGGTCAAAATGAGTTCAAGTTTTTGACAATTGATCGATCTTGATTATAGTTGTCTTTCTAAGGTTTTGTTGAAAATTATTAGTTGGAGATGAATTAATCTAATATTTTCATCTGTGTTGATTAGTTAGATGTTACCCTTTGACAATAGTTTGTTATTTACCATGACAGGTTCAGCTCCCTCCATGGAATTTAGCTCTATTGATTATTCTCATCCCTTAAAATTGTGTTACACCATCATCTTTACAAAAGGATCAAAGCATGCTATCTGATGGTCCGTGGTCATTTAATCAACTATGGAAAAAAAATCAGTTTAATTCGATGATTATCTGAGCCGTTGAAAATTTGTTTAGAAGAAAAATTGAATACAGTAGTTAGATGGTTAAAGATTATCAGATTGCTTTGGTGAATAAGCTAGTTTTGATAAATAAGAAAAAAAAATTTCCACTGACTGAAATACCAGATTCAATTTTTTCTTTTCATATAAATTTTCCACTCTAAATATCTCCAGATTCCACTTTATACGTGTCTAAAAAATCCTTGTATGTTAGTGGATAGGCATGAATGTGTTAATGCCAATGATTTCGTCATTTTTTACATTGTTCTTTGGAGATAGTTGTTGACACAGTAATATTCTAGAAAACTAACATAGCAGGCATGACTATGAAATTTGCAGGTTATATGGAGCCATAGGCTCCACTCTATCTGAAAGGAGGAGCTTGCGATGTTCATGGTGATTCTAACCTCTTCATTCAGGTCATAAGTCTCATTTTGGTAGCAAAATACAATAAAGACATCACGTCCCATCTGCTGTCTTAAATTATTTATTGTGTATCCTGCTCTGCCTGACTTCAATTAAGGTTAGATAAGAAGCAGTTTATTCTAACTGTATAAAAGGAAAACATTGCTCTAGCTTAATCCACCAATCATAATGAGCATCTCTCTTTATATTTACATCCATTTGTCTGATCTATGCATGAAAACGATAATTCTGTCCTTGTGAAAGCATAAGCAACCTTAAATATGACTCGTCAGCTTTTCCTACTTGATGTGCATAAATGAAGTTGAAATATTTAGTTTTAATATCATATGTATAAAGTGCATGAAGGTTTTCATTTTACATTGTTGATTTTGAACAAAATCTAAGAAAACTACCTTTGTGCAATGTTCTGTTATATATCTCCAAGAGACATTATTTTAGAATCTCAAATTTATTTTTCCAATTGACTCCATCAGCAACAACATGGAGCATTAAAGAACTCCATAGAATCTTATTATATCAAATCTAGATTAATGTCTTCTTCCGATGAGCAAGTGTATCTCCAAAGCCAAACACTCTATCTGATTCCTTTGAAGTCAGCAGAAGGAATATAAACTTGAAATTTTACAATTATATGGGGATTGGAATTGTTTCACTAAAATCCCAAGCTTCGTTTTTTTTTTTTTTTGGGTCTTCCCAGCAATCAAGTGCAGCACAGCTATAATTTTTTTTCATCACCTAGATCTTCGGTTTGGTTGGTATCTTTTCATTACTCTGGTGTTCTTCTTGAAGCCACTCCTTATCTTCATCCCGTACATTCAATTGATCAATTTAATGCAGTACCCTGTGTCACATGATCTATTTATCATGCCACTGATCAGAATTCAATGGATATGTTTTGGTATTTGTTCAGTTGCTGCAAAGATTTCTGTGCTATTTCCAAAACCTTTTTTTTATTGATCAAAATAAGATCTCCTTGTCCTCAAATTAACATAACCCCTAGTTCCCAAGCTTTCTCTATGTTTTTCTTTGTTTAAAGTTGAGTTGTTTATGGTTTACTTCCTCAATAGAATGCATATGCTACATATTTTATTGCAGGCAGCCATAAATGACTTTTACCATCTATTGAATGCTTGAATTTGTAGATAATGCAAGTCCTTTGGTGTTTAAAGTCTTCTACGATAACCAAAACTCTCTTATTCCCAAAATAACTATATTCTCCAATCTTTGGTTCCATCAAAGTTGCTCCCACAATGCTTACATTTATCTGAATTTCAATTTTTGGAAAATGACTACTCTGGCAGTAATTTCTCTCTTTTTCTTGCTCAAAGCATATCAATTGTTCAATCTATACTTTTGAAACCTAAAATGAGAATGGTGTGGTAGTGTCACATTTGCATCTACTCAAGTCAGCTAATTCAGCTGGACAATACAGTTGAATTGTTTTCTATCTCCCCTCTTTTTGTTTATTCAATCCAATCAGGCGAGCCTTGGCACAACGGTAAGGTTGTTCCATTGTGGCATGGAGATATAACTGACCTTTCCAGATAGGGATGGCAATGGGGGTGGTTTTGGGCAGGTTTACCCTCCCCCGCTCCCATCCCTGTTTAGAAACCTCCGCCCCGTCCCCACCCAAAACGTCTCTCCCCATCCCCACCCCATTTAACTTTTTCACCCCTCGGGCACCCGCCCCGTCCCGTTTAGTCCCACAATTTTTTCTCATTTTTAATTTTTCTACCCCTCAAATACAATTATATAAGTATTAAAAATTCATTAAAAAAATGGCCATCAATACTTTCACATAAAATTCAACATTTCAAATATTGAATGAGAATGAGACATAGGGACGAGTAATAAAATAAGGGTAATTTAGTAATTTACTTACCTAAACAAATGGAGTAGGGCAACTTCCCCTTGTCCCGTCCCAAACCCGCACGAGTTTTTATTAATAAAAATCATTCCCATCAAAATAACCTAAACAATCCTCCAAGGACTTTGCTAACCACAGTCGCCCTTGCGCGACTATGGATATACGGCGCTTGTCCTATTAGTATAGGAATCTGATTCCATTTATGATTTGTCTAGGAATTAGTTACCATTTATATCTTGTCTAGACCTATCATAACTGTAACTTCTTTTGCTTTATCCTACTGGCAAGTCACGTGATTTATAGGCCACACGTTTGTTTATTTTTGGGTCATATATTTTACCGTTAAATAAAATCTATACCATTTAAAATTACACTTCAATTTTTATCAATCCTAAAATTTTTGTTCCAATAACAAACTTTACATAAATATAATAACACCACCAATACAATAAATTTAATTATTTACTTTATTTTTTTTTTCTTAAATGTGAAAATTTTTACATTTATTTAAAGTGAAAAATATTATATAAAAAAATAAACATAATAGTATAAGTGAAATAATAAGGGGTATACTTATGAGAAACCAAGAAGAACAAAGAGCCCATAAGAGGGCAAAACAAAACTGCAGAAACTAATAACAAATGAACGAAAGCCAACTCAATAGCAATAGAATGGACTGCGACATTATAGCAGCAACATTGGAATGTGGAACTTTTTTATAAACCAAAATACAATAGAGTACTTTCACTAAGAAAAGAGTAAAATTTATCTACATCCATAATCAAAAGTCAATTACATCCAATTATATCCCACACAGAATACTGTGTGTTCAAAAGTAACTATGTTAATATATCTAATTGAATGTAATCCCATCATAACCCAAAAGATTACCACATGATCAAAAGTTTGTTATGTTAATATATATATAATTAAATGTAATCTAATCATATCCCAAAAGATCATGGCCAAAAAAATAAAGTTCTTCATAAACCACGTATGCCTTTTCCTCGTGAGAAATAAAGCCACCCATCAAACCTGAAAATCAAATCATTAAAAATCAAATACCATTTTATTTTTTGGTATGCAACTACAAAGTGAACTACAATTTTGGGCTTTGCAACTGTAAATACCATTTGAGTTAGCTTCCGGTTCATTTGATATTAGTTGCTGCAGTTTTGTTTTGCCCTCTTATGGGCTCTTTGTTCTTCTTGGTTTCTCCTAAGTATACCCCTTATTATTTCTCTTGTACTATTATGTTCATTTTTTTATATAATATTTTTCACTTTAAATAAATATAAAAATTTTCACATTTAAGAAAAAAAAAATAGAGTAAATAATCAAATTTGTTGTATTGGTGGTGTTATTATATTTATGTAAAGTTTGTAATTGGAACAAAAATTTTAGGATTGATAAAAATTGAAGTGTAAATTTAAATGGTATAGACTTTATTTAACAGTAAAATATATGATCCAAAAATAAACAAACGTGTGGCCGATAAATCACGCGACTTGCCAGTAGGATAAAGTAAAATAAGTTAAAGTGGTGATAGGTTTTTACACTTAGATAAGTTATAAATGATAACTAATTTCTAGACAAATTATAAATGAAATCTGATTCCTATACTAATAAGACAAGCGATTGTAAATCCACATTGTAGCAAAGCCCATCCTCCAAAATCACCATAAAAAATGACAGGAGCTCCGAGCGCGGAATCCATCTTCTTCTTTTTTTCAAATCCAATCACCACTTCTACTGTTGTTTCTTTTCATGCTAAATACTACGAGTAGTTTTTTGAGTCACTATGCGTACAACTGTACATACTTCACCAAGACTGGTATATCTGGATTGGAAACTCAATATCTGAATCTTTTATTTATTTTTTTCTTTTCATGTACAACAGATGTCAACTTAAGGACTCCACCAAAACTGATATTTTCTCTCACCTCCTATTTTTACAAAGTTGTAAGGGAAAAAAAAAAAAAAAAAAAAATCAAAACAAAAGAAAAATGTTGAACTCATGCGTGTTTCCTAACTTTGTTACTGTCACTGTAACTATAGTAGTTACGATTGGAATTTAAACTATGAGTGCCCTTATTTTTCATCATTAAACAAGCCAGTCTCTTCCACAACCAACGCCTTCTCTTGGGGGATGCCACGTGACTCACGTGCGTCCTGCTCTTCCTCACCACCAAACCGCGTACCTCCGGTGGCCGGTAAGTACGAATCAACGGCCACTTTATTCCGTTAAAAAATGGGTGCCGTTTAATATCCGTTGCACCCCTGGCACCCCCTAGCCTCCTCCTCGGGTCCTTTACTAATAGCTTCTCTATCAAGTCTCTAGCCTCGTCCATTCCTTCTGCTTCTGTGAACCTCACCCCTCTGCTCGATGCTATATTGCGCAGGGTGGCCTCTTTACTCGCTCCCTTAAACGGTGTCGTACCATACAACAGTTCATATACAAACACCCCAAATGCCCACCAGTCAACTCCGTTGCCGTGACCACTACCTGTAATTAACTCCGGCGCCAAGTACTCATGTGTCCCAACGCACGACCTCGAAAACGCTGTCGTGGGCTCTGCCACGAACTCCGTCACCACTTCCTCCTCCAATTCCCGGTACCCAAAACAGCTGCGCGGCCATTTCCGGCCGGACTCCACCTTGTTCCGGTGGATCCGGCGTTCTAATTTCGGCGCAATGTCAGCCTTGAAGCACAAGTCAAAATCAGACAACATAATGTGACCGTTTTCACGTAACAAAACGTTCTCCGGTTTGAGATCACGGTAAACCACACCAAGTGCATGTAGATATTCAAGCGCCACTAACACCTCTGCCGCGAAGAATCTGACCGCTTCAACCGGTAGGCGGTTACCGGGTTGCTTGCGGAGCAGAGAATGGAGGTCACCATTGGGGCAATAGTCAATGAGAAGGCACGTGTAGTGCGAGACCTCAAGGTGGGCATAGAGTGTAGGGAGGTAAGGGTGGTCGAGGGCAGAGAGGATCTCAGCTTCCATTTGGACGTGAGAGAGTTTTTTGTTAGTTAGATTCTCTCTGTCGACAACCTTGAGGGCGAAGTTGGCGTGGTCATTGTCGCGGAGGCGGCAGAGGAAGACGCGGCCGAGGTTGCCGGTGCCAAGATGGCGGAGGAGCTTGAGATGGCTGAGGTGGAGGGCACCATCAGACGAGAGCGTGGTGGCAGTTTTAATGGCAGACCAATGTGGGTCAGATTTGCGGTGTGGGCGGAGGTGGAGGTTGGGGGCGGCAGCGGAGGTGGAGGTGTTGGTGGAGAGGCGGGACTCGTTGAAGCTGAGAGTGAGGCTGCTGCGGGCTAGACTGCTTCGGGCACTAGAGGAAGCAAAGGTGCGGTCAGTGGCAGCGGTGGAAGCGCAGCTAGTGAAGCTGAGATCAAGGTCGGAGTCTGGAAAATGGGTATCCTCGTCCATGGTTGATGAAATGAGAATTAGGATGATGTTGAGGTGTTTTGGAGGGTGTAGTTTGCTTATAAAGATCCATTTTAGAGAGAGAAATGAAGGGGACATTTAATTAAATTAACATGTCTGGTTGACCAAATTGTAGAGAGAGAGAGAGGGGGGGTGGGGGAAGGAGAGAGGTAATTGGGTGCATGTTTAATTGGTTGACCCAACTAATGAAGATAATATATTTTTAAAAAGAAAAACTTAATTGATACTCTGTAATAATTAATAATGGTTATGGTAATTATTGTTATTAAAAGGAAGGTTCAGAGAATTGAAGAAGAAAGTTGTTGAAGAGAGAGGCCGCGTCTGCATTGGTACGTAACTGCAACGGCTAGTCGGCAGTAGGGTATTGTTACTATCGCACTTAATTCATTATAATATTATTATGTGCATACTGTCGACTCTGAATACATAAATGTGATTTATGGAATACGTTGTTTTTGTTGACTTTGGTAGATACATTCTTAATATAATAATAATGTTACAATACTATATTAATTATATAGACACAGTAACACAGCTGCTTTTGCCAATACCAACAAAGCTTAGGTTTTATATGATACTATTGACTCTAGATTTTAAAGGGCCTGCTCTCGTGGCCACAATTTGAACGATTTTTCGACTCTCTTCCCAATTTGAAAAATACCGAATGAATTTACGTGAGTGAATATGTGAACGGCCATTACATCATGTTACAGTAATGTTATATAATTGGGTTTACACTCTTCATCACTTTTATTTAGAATTTTTCAAATTCCAAAAATATACTCACTCACATCACTTTCGTTTAGAATCTTTCAAATTTGAATTTGTACTTTAAATTTAAAATTAGAAGTAATTTAGTTAAAAGTATGAAATAAATTGACTTCAATTTCAAACTCAACTCAATATTTCCAAATTTGAATTTGTACTTTAAATTTAAAATTAGAAGTAATTTAGTTAAAAGTATGAAATAAATTGACTTCAATTTCAAATTCAACTCAATATTTCCAAACATTAAGCAAAAAAATGTATCATGATTTTTAAAATTTGTCAATATAAAATATATATATATATATATATATATATATGTGCAAATTAGTGGTTCTGAATAGTTTCTGTGCATTAGTCAACTAGTTGAAACTATTCAGAACCACTAATTACATTTAAAATGGAGTAATTCGACTCCACTTGCTTGTTGCTTGACCAACCAATTAGTTTGAAGAGTTCAATCCACAATTAATTCCAATTTTCATAATTTAAGTATAAAAAAAGGGGGTTTTACTCCCCTTTTCTTTCTTCTTTAATTTCAATTCTTATAATACAACTCAGAGAAAAATAGTTTACTTCCCTTTTCTTTTTTTATTTTTAGAAAAAGAAACTTCCATCTGCCTGAACCAACTAATTGGTTAATATATATATATATTTGCGCGCGCGCGCGCTCGTATACCCCTAACGGCACCATTTTAATAGGAAAGATACCGAAAGTTACCGGAGCCGCCGCTGATGCCAACATGTAGCCGACTCCTGCCTTTATTTATGTTGTTTTAGTTGTTGAAATATAAATAACTGGTAACTTGTAATTTAATTCATCCAACAAAATTATCCATTTCTTATCTTAATTACGATAATTATATGCCTTCAAAATATATATATATATATATATATATATATATATATATATAAACGGAATCAATAAACATAGAAAATAGTGATGGGTGATGGAGCCATGTGATGCGGCCAATATAACCTCCTTCTCACTTACGGGCTGGGACCCACGTGGAGGAACGTTAGACGATGCTGTCTGCCACGTGGTCAACATGGCCCCTCCTACAATGTCACTCTTAATTCTCACATTAATAAAATTATAACAAAGCATCAAATGCTACCATAAAATATTTTCCTACTACACATTATTCAGTAATAATAATGCCTTACCTATCGAGTTAATGCTTAATAATGCGATTCCGACCCACCCTATATTATATGTTAATATAACACACCAACCTGCCATTGTCACGTGACAGCGGGCCAAGCTGGCAATAAGTGTGGTTTGAGTCAATATCTGAGATTTTCAATTTTGTTTAATAGGTAGTATAAAAAAAATATAAATATAATTTAATTTAAAGAAGGAAAAAAAAAAGTTTAATAGGTGTACCACTAGTAATACATGTGTTCCACCATGAAGCTCTAGAAGTGCGCTTTTACATTAAGATCCATTTCATTCAACGACATATAATGGCCATGCCATTTGTTTTACGACTATAGCCAATTTCTCTTTCCTTCCCATTTAATTGGATGAAAAAGTCAAGTAGATATTAACGTGACTTATAATTGGAATTGTCAAACACCACCTCTCCCCATTTATTTTTGAGTACAAAGGACCGATGGTGTTATACAATACGATGTTGTTATAATATAATGTTATATAATACGGTATTGTTATAATACTCTGTGTTATATATGAGACGGTTTAAATCATCTTATTTTACAGCAAAATAATTCAGAGATCAATAGATTTTTTATATTTTAAAAAATACAAAATTTAATGGGCCCGCAGATATATATATATTTTATTTTATATTAGAAGTAGGTCCAGATGGCAAATGCATGTCCCCTCAATATGTATGTTTATTTATTTATTAATTTGTTTTTAATCCCCATTTGTTAAAACATGGCACACTATATGTCCATAGGATACGCATGAGAAAGACATGTGATGTAACTGATGTTGTGTTGTCCATTTGGGCTCTCAACCACAAATTGAAATTTTTTTGGGCCCATTTGATTTGAAAGATGGGCCTGGGTTTAGAAGGATTGTTTAACTTGCTTTGTTATTTTTAATATTAATATTGAATAAATCAATAATATTGGAAATTCATAATATTTTAGGGAGTAGTTCTCAAAATTAGTTCCAACTACCAATTAATTGGGAGTGTTGTGGATTGCAACACACTTAACTTCTAACACTAATGACATCCTTTACTCAGAGTAAGTTCTCATTAATTAAGGATGTTGCGAGACTAACAAAAACCTAACTTCTAATACTATTTGAGCAAAACACACATTCTCACACTTCTCAATAACTCCTTTAAAAAAAAAAAACCATTATCAACCCAACTATATAAGATGACGCAAGAACAATGGTAATATTATTTGGCACAAAATAACTTAGTGAAAGTCACATTTTGAAGACACATTAATGATTAATAATTTTTAATTAAAAAGATTCATGTTATGTTTTAGACATTTAGTGTGTGTGTGTTTATATATATATATTGATTTGAGATGTCTAATCATTCGGAATGACATTTTACAGCACGTACATGCACAAGAATATGATGATGAGAAGGAAACAATACAAGGCCGACATCGTCCCCTTCCTCTCCTCTCCTCCTTCTCAGGTGCAATGTATCTATTCTTATGTTGGCACTTGAAAACTAATAATTAATGACAATAATCAGAAGATTAATGCTTTCTCTTTTCAAATCCTTCTCTACTCCACACATTGTCACATGCATCAACTTCCAAATTTATCAATCAGTTCAGTGAACCCCTCCTAATCATTAACTCAGATCCCAATTCCCACCTACAAATAAATGTCCACCTAGTGTGTGTGTGTGTGTCAGTGTGTGTGTTTGTGTGTGTGTGGATAGGTAGAGAAAGAGAGAAATGGAATCAACAACTCTAACCACAATAATTATCATACCTCAACTAATAAGATGCCCTTTGTAATCTATTAAAGAAAAGCAAAGATTAAACATTGTTGCTGTTATACAGTTGGCCAAGGCTTCTGTTTGTCTGGTGACCCACTGAAATAGGTTGAACAAATTAATGTCAAACACAGTCCATGATTAGAAGGAGAGGATGCCAAAATATGTCAGAGTTAGGAAGAGGTTAGATAAGTCCAATTCTAGACCTAAACTCCAACCTGGTTATTTCAGTTAGAAAAAACCTCCCATTGGCTGGTTATCTTGATGAGATCCCATCAACTGTGTGTGTGTATTTATTAATAGTGTGAAAGAATGAGATGACATGTTCATTTGCAAGTTCCAGCACTCTCTCATTGTAAAATTGTCAAGCAAAACTGGTTACCAAATTAATATGATCCCCTTGGGGCCACCCCAGGGAATTTTTCTGATAATTGCCCGGCATGTGGGACAGGGGATTGTATGTGTCTGGTGGTAGATTATGGGGTGCTCTAAAAGGCTTGACACCACTTATATGAATTTAGTTTGTCCAACATAAACAAACCACCCAGGGTCTTTAACCCAAATGGTATAACCTCCTTAAAAGGAGGAGAGGGGTTCGAGCCTGGTGTGAGCAATGTGTGTATGAGTGCTTATCAGAATAAATAAATAAATCAAGGAAACATTTCATAAAGGTAGTGCTAAATTAGGGTTCTTAGAATTATTGACTAAATGAAATTAAATAGGTTTAAAGTTCAAGTGTTTAACCAATCAATTTTCATTTATCAAGCATTTCCTTCATGTATCAATTTTGGATGGTTATGAGATCCAAATATAGTTTGATCTGACATTAGAGGCCATGTTAAAATATGAGGTCCAATTTTATCACTTACTCATAGAAATGGTCTTCAATTGTACTTGTAAAGGAGTTTCTAAACTTTCTGTCACCTCTTCTGTATTGACTTTTATGTTGTAGAAGCTGTTGGGCACAATGTCCACCATGAGCCATTAATAAATGAAAGGCAGTGGGCGAATCAGTGCCCATTTGGATCAATATCACAACTATTTGCACTATCTTCTGCATCAGTTCTGTTTTGCTATTCATGCCTATGAATAAATATCAGTTTCTAGAAGTTATTTCATTCTTTTTAATTTCAAGTACACCATTTTAGAAAAGATTTGTTAAAGATTTGTTAACGCACTGTTGTCCGAGAGCTTATTGTGTCAAGAGGAATGTTTTGTTGATTGCTGTTGCCAAGTTCAAATGAGATGTACTTGCAAGAATTTTTAGGCCTTAGCTCCAGATTGTAAAGCATGTATCTCATACCATTTCCTTTATTTTCAGTTTCGTTGATATCAGACATTGAGAACCAGGTACAGATCGACCATCTAGGCAAACTTTACTTAGGTTTGTCAAGGATCCAAGAATGCATAAGCAATTGAGCAGTGTGAGCCTTTCCGTTAAGCCAGAAATACCTTCCTGAAGGCTATGGTAACCATAAACCACCATTTCTCATTAAACTTAATTAATGAAACACCAACACTAACTACAATCACAGTGCCATTAACAAACCGCTGTTGAAAATGATCACTTATATACAATAAATGAATCCATCAAGGTTTTAACAAGTACAAGAAATTCAAACAGATGATTAGCATCATCATCCAAAGAAAATCAATCATTTTGTTTCGTGTTTTTCCTTGCCTTCAATCAGAGAAGCATTTCTCCACTGTTAGTTTATAAACAAACCAAAAAAAAAAAATTTGTTGGCATTTAAAAAACAGTTCTGCTATTCCACCCTCTCTCTTTTTCCATATGGTTTCGCTTCTGCTGAACATCCTTTGTTACTCTTCTAGCACTGCCAAGCAATACTCTTTGGCCCATCCTTCCTCGGCTTCCAATGGAGACTCTAACCTTTTCCATGCCCACATTTACACCACCTCTTCTGATGTGCTGCTGCATTGGGGACTTCATTTGAATTTTCTTTTGAAGGCTTCGTCTCAAAATGCTACTCACCTTTTTACCACCACTCTTGTGTTCTTTGGGACTATCCCAAGATGCCGGTTCAGTCAACGACTTAGCTTCATCCCCATCTGTTTCTTTCTCATCTGCTTGAATTGGTGGCAATGGGAATAATGGTGGTGGGAACTTGGCTGAACCTGGTACAGTGGGTAAAGGGATTAGAGAGTTGCGTCGTGGAGCTGTGGCTGCTGGAATCCTTTGTGCTGTGGTGCAGATAGAAGCTCTGCCAGTCCGTTTTGGCAGTGGAAGATATTCGGCCATATCAGGATTATTTTCCTTTTCAGTGGGATCATTGTGCTTAACAAATCCATCCACTGTAGGGGGTAATGAAAGTTTGTAGCTGTTGTTCTCAGTAAGTGGTCGAGTGAGAGTGACTTGATCCTTGCCTTCATTATAATTCTTGTGAACTCCAATTGGTCTAGTCGTAAGTGGCTGCCTCATAAGTGCAGAATTTTGCTCTTCTTGCCGTTGTCTCATTTGTTGTTGTTGTTGTTGCTGCTGCTGTTCTGCTAGTTTCGAGTCCACATGCTGCCGTGCTAGCTTTCTCTCTATCAGAAGTTGAGATTCCAATTCCTTAATCTGTAAAATAAACCAAATGTTAAACTGGTGGACATAATACAGGCTTTATAACTTTAACTTACATCTCTTTGTTAAAAAAGATGGGTATTTTAGCCCTCGGAATACAGAGAGAAAAACTTTTTTTCTTTGCCAAACTTAGGATGAGGAATGTAATCATGTATATAGCAAACCTTGTCTTGCATATTCTTGTTTTTCAACTCTTTTTCCTTCATCTTCACGTCCAAACCATGAACAGTGTCCTCCAACTTCTTAATTTGCACATCTTTACTCCTCATGTCTAGCTTGGTCTTCTCAACCTAACAAGTAGAATAACAGCTTGTTTGAAATGCAGTTAAACATGTTTGACTTTAATGAGGATAGTAAAACGAGATAGAGCTTCAGTAGAAAACTATAAAATTATTATATGTTACTGACTACTGATACCATTTGTTTGTATTTCAACAGGTCAGTGTTGTCTAATTGCTTCTTTGCAGGACCCAATTCTATCCCTCTCACTCTACTTGCAAAGTTGAGTGAGCATAGAGTCTCACTTAGGTCAGTTTCATTGGGGCTAATCTGTACAAACATCAGTGTCTTTGAGTCTCCTCCTATAGATAACAAAACTTAACAAATCAGTTGTTTTCATTTCACATATAATTGAAATGGAAAATTGTTTGCTCTTTCTCCCAACTTCATGAAACCCCAATGAAGTACCTAGAGAGTCCTGAAGCAAATGAGTGAGCTTGGAGTTCCTACACAATCACCAAAAGGAAAAGTTTAGAATTGAAAAACACATAGGGCACACTCGCACACAAAAACATGATGGATCAAAGACTAATTAATTAATTTCAGTACCTAAAAGGGATATGAGGGCTCTTAGTTGCAAGAGCAGATATGACATCACCAAGTGCAGAGAGTGATCTATTAATATTTTGGGTCTCCTTTAGTCTTTCGCCTTGCACTTCTGTCTTGGCAACTCGCTCGCTACCTGCCAAGTCAATCAGCCACAGCTTGCTTCTAGTGCATTCCCCGTTCAGCAAATTTTCCCCCTTCACCATCACACAGTGAATGCTGCAATGGCAAACAGCCCGCTTGCGCTCAGTGGTGTCCCTTTTGTTATGTGACAAATTCAATAAAATAGGAGAATTGTGAAGGATGAAACAAACCAGTGGGAGCGGCTACTGTGCTCATTAGCATTAGTTGAACCAACTGCCCTGGCGTTACTGCCAGTCTTTAGAACTTCCCAGACCTCACTCGTGTTATTTACCTGAGCTTCAACTAGTCCTGGGACATGATGTATTCCTTCACCTACTTGCCTTATTTCAAGCCTACAGGCAACCATATTGTATGATTAGACTAAATTTTACAGAAATTAGTCCAAAAGTCCCCAAGTCATAACATCCTTAAGTTAGCTGCAATGTTATTGCGCATATAGTGCCATACAAATAGATCAATAATTGCCACAACTGGTGCAAGAGCTTCCAATATACATTTTTTTCAGTAGTTTGCTCAAATTTCTTATAACATTTTTACTTTCATGATGATAAAAATCTTAGGCAAAGTAAAAAACGAGAGTAAAATAGTCTTTGAAACGCAATAGAAGCTAGAAATTTCATAACAAGCAGCTAATAAGTAACCACCAGCTGAAACTTTTGCAATAAATTATGTTATAGGTTGGTTAACATTATGTGCATTACTTGTTTGAGGACCAAATACTAATTCATTGTTGCTCTCAAAAGCAAGAGCATAGTTCCAAGATACCAATAGACAATGTGACCAAAGGAAAGCAATTCTGTGCTACATGTTAAATCTAATACTTGTAGTTCTGGAAATTTATTATGTTAATGTAAACAGCATAAAATGGAAGGTAATATAGTAGGATTTTCTGTCATAAGTTCTCCACACCTTCACTGGAAAAAAGAAAGGTAAAAACAAGAGAAATTTTAATAATTAACTTTCTTAATTGTTACCTTTTTGCAGTTACTCCTGGCTGCTGTCCTGGGACTAACAAATCTCGTATCTGCTCATTATAAACTTCTAAAACACTAACAGATATTTCGTATCGAATTTGCCCCTTTCTCTCCTTGACGATCCGGAACAATTCCTCAAGAGTCCTGAAATTAACTCCACGGGCTTCATCTGTGCCCTCCATGGTAAAAGTTTTCCCAGTACCTGTCTGTCCATAAGCAAATATGCAGACATTGTACCCATCTAGAACTGAGGTTGCAAATGGTGCTGTATCCTCGAAAACATCAACTGCTCAAAAAGCAAAAAATGGGAAATATACATCAGCTGCAAAAGGTGATAAGGGACATTTTATTTGAAAGCAAATGAAATTTCCTCTGCATCCATTTTCAGTTACCTTGGTTTGCTTGGGGGGCAAAAACAGAATCGAACTTGAAGGTTTTCTTCAGTGCGCCATTAGATTTTACTGTAAGCTCGCCATCCTTGGCACCTTCAAAATCAATTGCCATTGAAGCTCCTGCATCAACCTCTTCATTGTTCAAAGGCCTACATCGGCAAAATACTCTGATATTTCCTGCAAGAGAAGGAAAGCATCATTCACCGCGCAATTGATTATCAATTTCGTGAAGTACATTGTACAAGGAAAAACTGCTAACCTTTCAACTCCAAAATCTTGTTGTAGAGTTCTTTCCGTTCCTTGGCCCCTTTAATGTATTTGATTTTAAGATCTTCATGTAATTCTACTTGTTGATTTACTATCAGCAAAGGATAAAAAAAAATTAAAACAGAGACTAACTAGGTAGAAAGTTAGAAGTAAAAATCAGGTGAACATGTAAATTTACTTTTGGACTGAATGGTTGAGCTCATGTCATTCATATCTAACATGCACTTTTTGTATGACAATGCCTCCTCAGATAACTTGACATGCTCCATTTTCAGTATCTGTTAAAATTCCCACAAAAAATTAACATTTATGTTTCCTTTTATGCCTTTAACCATGACAAGTTAGCATATATGCTATGAGTAAATTTTTCATTGCCTTCAATTTTCTTGTCAGGTCTCTCAAAGATAAGAACCATCTGCTCTTCTCTTTCACTTGTCCCTCAATAGCAAAAGCTGTGGAAAAGGAAAAAAATCAACATATAAATTTGCAGATACTTATATTGTCGACAATCCACAAATTAGAATCTCCATACCCAGTGATCCAACATGCATTGACTTGCGCATGAGCTCATTCTGAAGATCTTTTAAAAACTTCCATGCTTCTTGGCATTCTCTGCTCTTGCGTTCATTCTCCTTCTTAAGCTCTTCCAAAGCCCTCCTTGTCTGTGTCAGTTCCTTTTTCTGACACTCATATTCTATACGAAGCTTTTGAGAATCTCCATCAACATTATAATCACCTATATCCTAAAAGTATCATTTAGAAAAGAAAAAACTAAGAAATATATTGAGTTGATTTTTATAATTCAATCTAATACTTGATAGGTTTTTAAAACAAAAAAGTACTACTTTTGGTGACTGGTATTCTGGCATTTGAGACATTCCCATAACTTTAAGCAATTCAACTTCCCCAAAACCTGACACAAGTCAAAGGATGTGTTTATCAGAACTTGAAAGTACTTAGCGGAAGTGTTCTATTCCTATTAGAGATGTGATTAAATGTTCTCTTAAAGGTTCACATATAGAAGTTTGCCAGAGAAATATTTAACTTACTTGCAGAAGAATGTCCCCTTATAGAAATACCACATACTATAGGGCTTCCAGTTACTCCTTCAAATCTAATGGTTAATCCCTCATCACCACTAACAAAAGCTTTCAGATCAGATATAACCAGAGGTTTATTTGCACCAACGCGCGCATAAATGTCTATGTCAGAAACAGCCTACAAAATATAATCAACATGAATAATAAAACAATTACCATTATCATACTATGTATTAATTGTGAACAATTATAGGCCTAAAGTAAGTAATGCCTCATGGGTTTTCTTTTACCTTCTGTTCTTGTATAAAAACATCAAACACTCTCATCCCGGGAGGGCCATCCGTGAACATAATCTCGGCCAGGTGCAGATCAACACTGTAATTTCCAGACTTTAAGGCCTTGAAGTGGTACGAAAAGTTACCAAATCGTGCTGTTTGGTAAATGCTGTGTCCGTTTCCATCCCCAATTGTTGTGTCAGTCCTTGTAGTGTCACCACCACTGAAGCAACTATCCTCTAGAAAATCAATCCCATCCAAAGCTGAAATGCCGTCCAATGACCCTGCATTAATGCTTATAATAGGAAGGGGGTCTTTCAACAGCTTCTCTTCAACAATTGGCGGTGGAAGAAGCTCGAAAGAAGCTACCGGAGAAGCATCTTCTACCGCGGTTGGCCAAGAAGTTGAAAACTTGGTAGTAGCTGGGGTTTCATGGGCATTTTCCATTTCAGACCCATTGATGCCATTTTCTAAGGACAACTCGATGGAAGCACGATTTGAGAACTCAGGGGATTCCACATAACTTCTTCTGGGGATATCCGGTGATTCGGCACATATAACCAAATCGGGAGATGTTAACGAAAATCCTAACATAGATCGACCTAAAAAAAAAAAAAAAAAAATGAAGGAACAGCCTTGATCAAATCAATGGGTAAAACCCAGGTGGAAAAATCTAAACTTTATTGAAATTCCTAATGGGTTATTTACTCCTGGTAGCTCCTAAGCTTCAATGTTTCCAACAAACATCAAAACCAATAAAAAAAGCTCACAATTTTATTGCAACATTATGAAAATCAATCAAAATGGAAATAAATTGGAAGGAAAAAAATAAAGAATCTTTAATATAAAGATTTGAAGATGGGTACCGTCATTCTTGAGAGGATTAACATCGTCAGGATCTGCCATTGTCAATGTTGGAGAGCTCGGTGATGTAACAGAATGATCTGCCAAGTAGAAAGTGGATTACATGAATAAAAGGCCCATGTGCAAATCAAAATATGGGCAAAACCCAGATGGAAAAATCTAAACTTTATTGAAATTCCTAATGGGTTCTTTAGTCCTGGTAGCTCCTAAGCTTCAATGTTGCCAACAAACATCAACACCAATAAAAAGCTCCCAATTTTATTGCAACATAATGAAAATCAATCAAAATGGAAATAAATTGGAAGGAATCAAAAAAAAAAAAAAAAAAAAAAAAAAAAAAAAAAAAAAAAAAAGAATCTTTTGTAAAGATTTGAAGATGGGGTACCATCATTCTTGAAAGGATGAACACCGTCAGGATCTGCCATTGTTGACGTTGGAGAGCTCGGCGATGTAACAGACTGGTCTGCCAAGTAAAAAGTGGATTACATTAATAAGAACATAAGAAGATCTTGTAAATTATTGGGTAGAGGACAAAGATTGACTATTGATGATCTTACAGTGATAGAGAGTGTTGTGTTCTTGTAATTGCCTGGAAACATCTGTGGTAAGAAGTGGGTCATACCATTGATCGTCTTCCATTGATAAAGAGAGACAGGGAGGGAAACTGTTTGAATTGTAAGTGGTACCAAAAAGAGAACAAGCCAGAGAGAGAGAGAGAGACAGAGAGAGAAGGGAAAGTTTCCTTTAGCACTCCGTTGATTTCGTTTGGGTGAAACATTCATTTTGCCGTTATGTTTGAAGAAGCCCGTTGGTTTTTTGAATTTTGAAATTTCTTAACCGGGCCAAACAAAAAGGTTTTTTTGAACCAAATAGATTAATCCCTCGTGGCAAACTATGAAAAATATTCAAAACACTGATATATGACAAAATAGCTCACTAATGCTATATGGGTTTTGTTTGATTCTTTGCTAAATAAATTATGCCCCTTCTACAATTAAATGATAATGTATATTATTTACGAATAAACATAATTTATTTTAATTATCAAATTAAATATAATAATTAAATTATTATTTCTAATTTGGTAAGTGAGTATGTACTCCATCATTTTTTATTTGATAATTAAAGATGACATGTTCATATGTTTTGGTCTATATCAATATTCAGGATGGAATACATCATCACCGATGACTCGTTGAGTACTTAAGTATTATCTGAATTACTTTACAATCTCTGTATAAACTTATACAATTTCTTCTTTGAGCAATGATATAATTAATGACACTCAACTAGCATGTCTCACAAGTAATGTAACCATACCACAAATTATATAAATAAAATTAAGAAAAAATTACAAATGGGTAGAGTTAGGAGTCTTAAATAACAAGATTATCATTTTTTAAAGTTTAGTTTTCAAATTGATTAAATTAAACAAAATAATTACAAATAGGTCAAAAATTATTGTTAATGACTAAAATACATTTCACGCTCTTATTTTAAAATATCAGATATCATTCTTAAACCCTACGCAGTCAGCTCTTCATCCTCAGCCTCTCCCACCACTACTTGACTCCTTTAGACCGCCACTTACCGCCATAAAATAAGAGAAGCCGTCGAATGAAAAGTAAGCATCATCTTTGAACTTGGCTGAAAATAATTCTTATAGCCATCACTTTTTTTTATCAGTCTTAATCTTCATCAATTTGGTGGAGGTGTTTGAAGATGTTTTGGCTCAATTCAATGGCAGTGTTAGAATTTTTTTTTTCTTAGTTGATACTTGCACATCCCCTCCAAAGAATTGTTTACACTTAATAAGAATCAATCTTGAGACATAATGTTTCATGAGACACCCGATCGACAGTGGTAGAATTGCAATAATAATGTGTTGTCCAATTAGCAGTTCCAGCATATGTGAGCCGCCTGATCATAGTTATTGAAAAAGAATAAAAAATGTTAATCAAATTCTTATCAACATGTGACTAATTTACTGAAAAAAAATAAAAATTATCCATGTGATTCTATCTATTGAATTCATATCAACATTAATCGAGACAAATTGATATTACTCTCTAATCATCTATATATGTTGTATATATAAATTAAAAAATATATTGAGATAAGATTGATATTATTATATATATACACAGGAGATAGTCCCACTTTTCGTATTTACTAGTTAAAATTGGTTCTTAACTTCTTTTTTTTTTTTTGGGGGGGGGAGGGGGGAATTATATGAATTTAATAAGGATATTTTAGTATTTTGAAATAAGAGGTTGGAAGATATTTTGAACCTTAATAATAATTTTTGATGTATTTGTAATTATTTTATTTTATTCAATCAAATTGAATAAAGAAATTTTAAAATAAACCATTTTGTTATTTAGTACTCCTAAATCTACATCTACGTATTTTTTTTAAAATTTTTATAATAATAATAATATATTCTGAATAATTTTATAATCTCTTGTAAAAAATTGTATACTCCACAATTTCTTCTTTGAGCAATGATATAATTGATGACACCTGGCATGTCTCACAAATAATTTAACCCCCACCACAAAGTATGCAATAATGTATATAAAAGTAAAATAATAATAATTTATTATGTTGTATACATATATTATGACTTTACAATTTCTCCTAAAAGTTTATTGCATGATTATATGTATGCCTCTATATTTACTACTTCGAAGAATCAATTGACAACACCGTCTCTCGGATGTCATCACTTTTTGAATTTCCATCTTCTTTATATAATTTTGCTTGTAAAAATGTTTATGCTTTCTGTAAGTGATACTCAACCACTAACCCCAAAAATAAAAATAAAATAAAATTTTAAATTAATACTTTATGTGAAAAGTCAAAACAAAAAGAGTATATTATATAAGATTCGAATCCACTTTAATGGAACGATGTATTATGTTCCGTCCAGATTGAGATGTACCTTACACATTTCAATCTTTTTGTAAAGTGCAATCCCAAATTAGACGAAACACGAAACATGATAGGATTTTGTTCCTATTACTTCACTGTTAAAGTAACCCTAATCCAACCACATTAAATGAGTAGCAGCAAAATGTGATAATGTAGAGAGAGATTTTCAATGCAAACTGGAGCTGTTAATTTTGAGCTATAGTGACTAATAGAATGACAAAAAAATTGAAGGTATAGCCATCATCATTTAATGTCTTCTTCATGCTTTACTAGGATTGGATGAGTTGGGTCATAAAAGAAATATGAGTAAAAAAATTAGGTGGAATTGGCATATTCTGGCACATGCTTCTATTTCAGGAAGTTGTATGCTATGCACATGCCCAGTTGTGAAGGGCCATTGTCTTCCTCACTAATCTTCAAACCCTCCCTTCCACATTCATATACATGACAATATAACCTTTTGGTGTTTTCGAAAAGAAATTAGTAAAAACAACACACTTTTTTCGGAAAATTACAACTGCAAATTGGCTTTTGGTTGAGGTGGTGATACAAGGTTGAGTTTTATCCACACATGATGGTCCTGCAATTGAAGCAGATTTTTCATGTCAAATGTTGTTGTACTCTCTGGCCTCTGCTATGCATAGTGACCTTATGGATCAGTATGATCTTTCTCATTTCGAGTGTCTTGGTTTTATTTTATTTCGGGGTTTTCTTTTATTTTCACAGATCTATCATAATTATAAAGGGTTAAGTGCAGAAAATACCTAAAGTATGCTTACATTGCATATCATATCCGTGCAAAAAAAATACCCATAAAGTTTCAATTTGGTGTAAATAGGTCCATCTCACAAATTTAAACCCTAAGTTGACTAAATTACTCTTACTAAACCATTTTATAAAATATATAAAAATAAATAATTTTGTAAAATGACCGAAAATAACACTATTAGAGGATGCTACTCTCGTGCAAAAAATACCCCTAAAGTTTTAATCTGGTGTAAATAAGTCTCTCTGACAAATTTAAACCCTAAGTTACTAAATTACCCTTACTGAACCATTTTATAAAATACATACAAAAAAATATTTTGTAAAATGATCGAAAATGACACTATTTGAGGACGCGGGCAATGTACAAGTAAACATAAAAATATAAAATAAAAATAAAAGTATAAAATAAAAGTAAAGATAAAAATAAAAAATAAAAAACAAAAATAAAGTGCAAACTAAAGAAAACAAAAAAATTTCAAAATCCAAAAATCAGTGCACACTAATATTGGGATTTTTTTTTTTTTTGTTTAACGGTGTTAGTACGAAAAAAAAATAGTAGAAAAGAATAACTAGAATCTCAAAAAATTCAAATCCTCCTTCTACAAATTCTCAAAGTTTTAAATAAAAAAAAAATGTTTAGAGATATATAAAGAGTAAAAAAGTTTAAAAAAAAAAAAGAAAGTAATGTGCACATAACACTTCTATACTATGAGATTAGTAGCATATATACTCTCTTGGCATTTTCGGAATAGTAAAAGAATAAAACAGGTATTATAGCACTAATTTATGTTAGATGGGGTATTTTTGTACAATGTGAAAGGATTAGAAGTGTTTTTTTACACTTTTTCAAATAGGGAATAAAAATGCTACACAGAATGTATTTTCTGCAGTTATCCCTAATTATAAATCACAAAATTGTGACACAAGCCAGGAACATCCAACGATTCACACCTTAATTTGGAAGATCATATTTTGGAAGACCACGAGAAATCACCAAGGTGTCACGCCTACGTGTCCATGCCCGAACAAATTACAGATAATAATGTTTTCAAAACATACCACAAAGGAGATTATATATTCGTGACACGAAATCAAGATATATATATATATATATATATATATATATATGTATGGAAAGTTACTACTGAATGGAAGTAGGCTTTGGTCCCCTAGCTCCTCTTAGACAAGTACTGAAGTGGTTCAAAATGGTGATCGATTCTGAAAGTGGTCCTGCTGCATATACAGTACTTAATAAGTCCTTTTTACTGAATTCAACCGTGCTCACTCTATATATAAGTAGCCAAGTAAGAAATATAAGTTCTTGTGATCAATAACATATCTATATATAAGTAGTCAAGTAAGAAATGAAGTTCTTGTGATCAATAGCGTATCAGTTACATTATCCTGTATCAAAAGATAAGCACCGTCATCACTGTGAAAGTAAACAAATCAGCTCTGACAATAACTCTTGTCGTCGTAAGAACATTTGACCACGAGGGATACCTACAATTTCCATGAACTTTCCTGTGAATTGAAACATCGTTAGGCTATAAAGTGTGAAGGTTTGGTTGAGATTGAACCACCTCATGAGGATTGTGAAAGAAATGGAACGATGTCGTTGGAAAATCTTATCAAGATTATTGGTCCCCTCATACGAAAAGCCATGTTTGAGCTATGTCGTCATGGTTTACAGAGTCTGGTCCCTGTCTTCAGTGAGACGACAATCTCATGCAATTAATGTTGAAGATTAAAAGGTAAGGGTCGGCAGTACAGTTCTATGTCTAATTTCTAGGCAACGCCGTGTAGGTAAGGCAACTATGGCTGCATTTCCCTATAAATTGGCGCATCCATGCATACCGTTCTCTGCAACCCTTTTCTTAAAATTTCTTCTGCATTTTCATCTCTCGTATCAATCTTAGTTTCAGGCAAATTTTAATCATTCAAGTTGCCGGAAACTCAGAAAAGGAACAATGGACAAGATGCCCAAAGCGAGATTTGTGATGGAAGTTGCTCCACCACGATTTATCTCTATAATTAGGCGTCCATTGACAAAGATGTTGGACACCATCAATGAGGAAGAGAGAGACTTTCGTGTCAATGGAAGTCTGTCTCCGTCTTTGGATAGAGACAGATACCACGAAGCTTCTCCTGCTGCATATGCATTGGCCTTGTGCCTGCTAGTGCAGCAGCATTTGTGCACTTCAGAGGAATAAAGAGGAGCATCTTGCAGTTGCAACTTGCTACTTCAGTCTCAGCAACTCAATCACGCGAATAAATGCAATAGCATGTTAGTTTTTTTCATTTACGGTGTCAAGGTGAATCTTCACGGCCTGCATTTTATAGGTGGTGATGATTAGAACTATTGAGAAAAAAGGCTTCATGACTCCCATCTTCACCACAATTTTCAGAGGGGTGAATGAGTGTCTAGTAGAATTTCATGTTTTGAGGAGTAGTTATGTTTTTGTTATGTCAGAAGTGAAATGAAAACGTAAAAGTTTTTCAACCAAGTATAGCATTAAATGGGTGCGTGAGTTTCTTGTCATTTAATATATATATATATATATTATAATATATATAGAGCATCAAACTTGCCACAATAGCAATTCAGCAAACAGAACATTTGTAACAGTTCTTGATAGCATTTGAAAAACAATTCCACACAAAAGGAACAGAATAATCCCTCAGAACTCCATATTCTTCATCAAAGTTCATTTGAAAGAGAATCAACTTGAAATGCGCAGAGTAACATCTCAAAGCTACCAACAAAGAAATTCAATACAACACAAACGCTCTAGAACAATTAAAAAATTCATTTATGGAGAATTAGTGCATTAATAATGTAGAACTAAACATGATTTTATATAAAGAGTAGCTCAGGTTTAGAATCAGAAAACCATACCTTCTCTAGAGCCAAATTCACTTCCAAATCCAATACTTCAAGCCTGAAGTGACAGTCTAACCGACTAAATAGGGCTTCCCACCACAAAACCAAGTATGGGAAGAGTTCCTTGATCTCAGAGTATGACATGCCACGGCTTCAAATTCTGCCACGCATCACTGGTTCATATCCAGTCTAACCTCGATAACACTTGATGAAGAGCAACATAGGATTTCCCCTGCAGACAGGCATTAGATTACTCAATCATCCTTGGAGTCCATGGATAAGTTATAGACTTCTTTATACTCTCGAGCACTGAAAGTGGTAGAACATCGAGGACGATCAAGAAATTAGGTCGGAGACTGGCTGAGTGAAAAATGGAACTCCTGTACCTTATCAACAGGATTAGTTTCAAAAATGGAGACCTTAAGTGGGAGAACCAATTCTCCGTTAGAATATTAGTTGGTTATAACATGCTGTGGATATAACCTCTCTGGTGCACTGGGATGGTGGAAATCACACCACCAGCAGTGTGACGCTGGAGTGATCCCCACCGTCCCCACTGCTCTGGAGAATTTTTTAGTTCAAATTGGACTTCAAAAAGTTTCCGACCAAGTTCCATCTAAAAGTGAAATAGCAGAGTTTGCAAAAAGTTTGACCTTGAATCAAATCCCTGATCATAATATTAAAAGCCACAATAGAAAATCTATAAGAATAATGGGATAAAAAAAAAATGGAACTTCTGTAAATTTCAGTGTTCAGTTTGAAATATAAGCAGCCGTGGCAATCGCTGTTTATAACTGATATAAATACACAAGGAGAACAGTTGTTCAGGGGTAAGAGATGATGCCTCCAATTTAGAGCATCCTAAAAAAGAAAAAGAAAAAAAAAATCAAATTCTCCTCCTCGCAGTCAGCAAAAGTGTTTACATCATTGAAACTTGAGCAATTCGAAGAAATGGTCAATCTGTCCCTCTTTACAAAAAGGAGCTCAATTACTGATATATTATACTATTTACAGTGTAATAGCATACAACAATGGACCAAATCTCTGCAAGCTCATATCTTCTGAACAAAGTATTAGGGACACGGCAATTGATGGGATCTCATTAGCATCACATCGGCTGAGTTCTGCCAAATCCCTTGAATGCATTGAACCTGTGTGTGAGGTAGAATACCTCTTGACTAAATCAGAAGCACGGAAGCCAACTAAAACTCGTGCGCTAGTGCCTCATTTATACTTACATTCCCACTCCTTCAACTGCAGCTGCCATGCTGGCTGATGCCTCTTCAAGCGTCCGCTTCTTTTGCACTGTATTGAAAGCCTCAAGAATATCACCCTCCTCCCAATCACTAAAATCCTCCATCCCAATTCCACATTCGAGTCCAGCGTTTACCTATCCAAAAGTGCACAAAATTATGCAGGAAACTAATAAAATATAAATGCTAAACTAGCCAATGGCATGCAAACATGAGCCTGATTCCACCAAAAAGATTGTGTATATATGATAGCCTATGATCTCCATTACGAGATACTCTGATCAGAGATCCTGCATAGTTGCTCTACAGCAAAAAATAGAACAAAACCTTGCCAAGCAAATACTTGTATAGTTAACAAAGGTGTCAATGAGTATTCTACACAAGGTTTCGTCTGAAGAAGTCCTTTCAACATTATATATTACTATATGATGTCTATACATATATCCAACGAAAAAAAAAATAGTTATTAAATAAAGCTTTTCTTTGACTTTCAATAACTACCTCAAAACTGTACAATGTCTTATATAGATCACCCTATTACTGCTTCACAAATTATTGCAAAAATTCTCAAAGATAAAAATAAAATAAAATAAAATAAAAAAATAAAACCAGAAAGAAAATAAACAATGTATACCAGAAAGAAAATAAACAATGTATACTTCTTCCACTAAAAGCATGAAAAGCTCCATTATCCATTCAAACCAGAAATGGTTGGGCCTATTGCACTTGTCATGCCCTAATACCAAGCCACTCATATTAGTTTGAAAGCACTGATATTTGTGGTCCCGTGGGATTGTCCTGATATGCACACACACGCAGAGAAGAGAAGAGGAGGAGGAAGCAAAAAGAAAGAAGTGGTAAAAAAATATATAACTATAAAGACATACCTCTTTCACCATCTCCTTAACCCGTCTCAATGAATCAAGAACACCAACATATACTGTCTTGCCATTTCTCAAGACCCGAATGCCACAGTCTTTCACTATTTTCCCCTCTGTTACCATGCATCCTGCAACGCGACCACTGCCACTACTAAATACGGCTCTAACTTCTGCTGTGCCAATTTTTAATTGTTCCTATCAAGATACAAATAGTGGCTCAACAGTAAATTCTCAATAAATAAATAATCACAAGAATTGAGAAGCAAAAGCAAGCATGGGCATAAAGTTTCAAGCATGAGTAGGCATCTTCTTAAGACTTTTACAGAGGCAAGGAGAAACGGGTTTAATTTTAAAGCCAAAGAATGGAAGCAATCATTTTTATGTTGATCTCTTCATTTATAAAACTTAAATGTGGGATACTGGGAATGAGATGCTATGTCGGTCTCTATCTATAACCAAAACGGCACTTCAAACAAAAGGAAGAGAGGAACCTAATTCTTATCCTAACTTCCTTGGGAAGTCTTCAATTTCTTTTTTTATTTTTTATTTTTTTACTTTTTTCCTTTTCTTTTTTTTTAAGGTAAGCCCTTGAGATATTTTATTAATATGCTTTTTACATGAAAACTGTAAATGAATTGCCATTGTAAATCTCATCCCACACCCACACCCACAAACCCCCCAAACACAACCCCCCCCCCCCCCCCCCCCCCCCCCCCCAACCCCAAAAATAAAAAAAGTTATGTGTCCCTTTGTGGAAAGAAATGATAGAATTGGACCCACATCTAAAAACAAGCCCACACCCCAGTGCCTACCCTGGGGCAGATAGGTAATGCCTTTTCAAGATAAATGGAAGTTTAAAAATGAAATTTTCAAATCCAATAAAATTTAATTATAGTTTACCTCAACAGGCTCCAGGAGTCCCTCCATTGCATTTCGCACATCATCAATAAGTTCATAGATAACTCTGTACAGTCGAATCTCAACACCTTTATTGTCTGCATAGCTTTTAACAGACCCGGGTGCCTTGATGTTAAATCCCAGAATAACGGCTTTACTGGCAACTGCAAGGTCAACATCACTGGTGCTGATATCTCCAGTTGCTTGCAAGAGGAACTTCAGAGTGACATTATCTTGAGGAAGCACCTGTAGGGCTTGTCTGACAGCCTCAATGGATCCCTAGTAATAATTAAGAGATTCCAACTTAATTGCAATTACATATAGAGAGCTCATCGATGACTCATGAATTAAATTAAATGGAAATATTCTATCATAAGGAATGTCTACCAGTATGCATGCATGTGCGACTATTTTTGTGGATGTATATATTACACTAAATTTGATTTAATATGCAATTCGCCCTACTTTGCATTTGACACTAAAGACACGTTAGCTGTGGAAGAACATAAACCTACCAGGCAAAGAGAGGCTCCCAAACAGTTGAATGTTTACCAGATTAATATTGTTCAAGTTCTTCAAAAAGTCATTTCTAATCACAGAAAATTGTCAAATGGCATAAATATATTGACGTTTCATAAAATTCATCTCTCATATGCAAAAATACAAGACAATATAGGTTTATTAGATAGGTGGGAATGAGTATCCACTTAGAAAAAAATCAGATTCAACGTAATATACGTGGTCAAACCAATAAATTGAGACAGAATAGGTCAATCTACCCGGTGAAGAGGCCATTAGGATCAAACCCCTTAATCGAAATCACGACACATCTGGGACAAACATTTGTAAGTTTTGTATACATATCTTGAATTAACAAGTAGATAGAATTGACATATCTAGAGGGCGGACTTTAGTGCAACGGTAAGGTTGCTCCATTGTGACCTGTAGGTGACAGGTTTGAAATGGAAACAGCCTCTCCATATGTGAAGGTAGGGCTACGTATATGTGACTCTGCCCAGACCTCGCAGTGGCGATAGCCTCCTGCACTAGGCTAGCCCTTTATAAGAACTGACATATCTAATGTATATTATATATTTACCCATTTTAACTCAAATATAAGTAAGAATATATAATTTAAAAGAGAATCATTGTGAAAATTATTATCAGATGATCTGAGAAAACCAGATTACTTTGATCATATTCAAGGATTTTAAGCCATTCTATTGAGCCAGAAGAAATTTATACAAGCAGCTAAACTAAACAACTATCACAAACATAGGACCGTGGGTACTAGTACTTTGACCGCATGCCAAGTCATTGCCACATGGCTTGAACCCCGCCACGTGTCCAATGACTTGCTGATAAACATCTATAATTCCTTTACTTATATAGTTATATATGCATGTGTATGTATATGTGTACATATATATGCTATATGAGGTCCCACTTTGCTAGCAACTTTTCATGCCCCTGCAGCAAAAGGGCATTTACTCCATATCTAGAAGCTAATGATCTCTTCTTCTTCTTTTTCTTTTTTCTTTTTTCTTTTTTTTTTTTTTTTTTGTAAATGAAATTACATGTGTGGTCGTGGCAAGAGAGAAATCCCCATGGGGACCCCTTCAGCCCTCCAGGGAGGAAGTCCTTAATTATCTTAATGAGCCCTCTAGAGATGGCTCATTAAAATAACTAAGGACTTCCTCTCTACCGATAAGCCTCAGAGCCAACTAATAATTATGAAAAGTTCCTCTCTACACCTCGAGGAAACAATCAAGGTCCTCGGAGAGCTCCTCTCTACAAATAAACCCCAAGAAAGAATTGAAAACCCTTGGGGAGCTCCTCTATACTAATAAACCCCGAGAGAGGATTGAAGGCTCTCGTGGAGTTCCTCTACAAATAAACCTCGACCGGTCGACAAAAAACCTCGAGGGGCTCCTCTACAGATAAACCTCGAGGAAGATCAAAGCTATACAGAGCCCTTCTGCGGGCAAGCCTGTCATGGAATGCAGCCCGCAATACGTGTAAGGCTGGCAGCATTATTCCTCCAATGGGATACTAAGGATATTGTCCTGATGACTAAGAACTCGAGGAAAGTTGAAAGACTTTCACCACAGGGATACTAAGGATATTGTCCTCCAATGGGATACTAAGGTTATTGTCCTGATGACTAAGAACTCGAGGAAAGGAAGAAAGAGGAGGTGATCTCTAAAGAGGCGGATGAGCAGAATAGATTAGGAGTCCTTACATTTAACGAGGAGAAACTTTAAGCCGGGGTCAGAATTTAATGCATTACTCCCCTACTCCATCAGGCTAGCTAATCACTGGGATTTGCAGCCAATTAGGCAAGCAACTGCCAAATAATCCTTCAGACCAATGGTCCTTGTCAAGAGATGGAGGAGTATAAAAGGAGTGAATAGCCTGAACAATGGTACTGAAAAAGGGAAGAGCGAAATGAATAACAGGTATACTGGCTCAAGAGAGATCACCAAAGCTTATCCCCACGACCTCTTCCTCACTCCTACAAGCTAGGACCCTGTGTGACAGCTTAGTGCTCCACTTAGGCATCCTCTTCTTGGTACTCTCGTCTTTATTATAGTGATTCCTCATTATTATAGAACCTGATATCAATAAAGGCTATCATCAAGCCATTAAACCCATGGGATTGAGCAAGTTTTTAAACATTGATTTTTATTTTCTGTCAATCTCAAATAAAAAAACCTCCCTCTCCCAATACTGAACTTGGAACAGTTATTATTAATGTATTACTAAGAAATTATCAACCAAGATTTATAGATAACCCTACTGACGTGTTTAGATATGCTTAACTGTATTTAAATTAAAAAACACATATTGTTTCAACATATTACTTAGGAAATCATAAATAATTAGCTAATATTAATTTCAATAAAATTCAAATCATTCTCACATTAAAAATCAATTTGATGCATATGTCACAATTTCAAAATATTATACATCTTCGAGTCTATGGGAACTTCACTTATATTGAGTCGAGTTCCAATGGTATGTCCTTTTTTTAATCCCCCTTATAAATACTATTGCTATTTGTATTTAAATGAGTTTGACCATCAAAAGTTCACTTTGATACTACAATGTTGTTTATTCTTGTACTTTGGCCTTTTTTTAGTTTTAGCTATATCTGCAAACAGTTTAGATTTGTTTTCATGCAATATTTAGGGTAGAACGAGAGCTGCTGCACAGGCAATATCAGGTGTTCAAGCATCATGCGCTTTGTGAAACAAATTTGTAAACGTAAATGAGATACATAGGTGCTCTCTTATAAAGTCTCTGGACATATTCTTTCCTTCATTGGTATAACCATTCTTGTAGCTGTACAGTAACACTACAGTTTCATCCATTGGATGATCTCAGTCAGAGACAAGTTGGCAATAACTTAGTCAAGACAGAGGTTACTCAGCTTTATCTCTTATTAATCTACTATATTACATCCATAACTCACATTACGAAGATCAAGATGATGTTTGTTTTATACGATAGTGGATATACATACCTGAAGGTCAACCTTCATAATGATATTCAGCTGGTGCAAGTCTAATCCAGACTGCTTTCCTGCTGAAACTGCAGAAGCTAAGGAAGAAAGTGTAACCTTCCCGTCTCCAGCCTTGGCAGATATACGTTCATTTCTTAATGACTCTGCACGTAACTCTGCCTTCTCGCGTGCAACATCGAGGGAACCAACAACCTCAAATTCATCACCAGCAATTGGAACATTATTCAATCCAATGACCTGTACAAGTATAGGAGAGATGCATTAGCAGATTATTGACCAAGAGCCATGTAGTAGAACTTTTAAAACTTGACCCACTCGATAGTATAACCAAATAGAGCACAAACTACATCAAAATATAGTTTCTAAGCTACTAATGCACTGAACTGAAACTTAAGAGCGGTTTCCTAACTCAACTAAAAATAGGATTCCTAACATGTAGAAACTCCAATCATAGTAGGAACATTAAAATATAGAAACTTCTGAAAATAAAGATTTCCTACCTCAAATTGCTTACGATAACACCTTACAAACTCCTAGAGTAACTAAGATATCCCACCCATGCATAGGAAACAACAATCTAGTTGCTTACGATTGGCTGTCCCCTTCCTACTATTACATCAATTCATTCAGCAACTCTATGGTGTGAGAGAGCAACTTCAACAACAATTACCCCAAATTGCCAATAGACCGGCTTTAAAGAGTTTACCTCACACATATATCTCTTACTATAACGTCTTAAACTAGTTATGGAACATAGCACATTGTGTTTCTTGGAATTACTTTTGTCATTGTGATGAAAATATTAAAGCAATTATGTCAAAGTATTTTCAGCAAATACCCTCATAGATAGAAAGAATAAACAATAGCTTATATGATAATAAACACTTAGTGTCATGACCCCAAATAGAAGGAAATTGAGATATTTTATTTGTAAACATTTTATTGTGTCACAGGAAATTAAGTGCTCGGTATATGCAATCTTCTGGTACCATAATATAGCCACTTTTTTTTTTTTTTTTTTCCAATAGGAAGGACCCCTGTGAATCAAACTGGAAACTTACATTTTTAACTACTATCCTAGAATGAATGCCACAATTGTTGTAATGTCCCACCAAGCCCTTGCTTTATAATCAGATATAATGTAGAAAAATAAATATCATAATAAGAATAGACAAGCAAAATGTAGCAAACTACAAAACCTGTACGGGTATAGAGGGTCCTGCTTCATCCACACGATTTCCGCCATCATCAAATAAAGCCCGAACCTGACAATAGGAAATGTAGGGAGAAGTCCTTCAAAGATGGATACCAAAATGAAACCAACCAGATCATATGCTAATTTTTCGAGGTGTAACATATAGGTTAAGAAGGGATTTTATCTTAAAGAAAGTTAATGCAAAATTTGCTCTTATACGCTAACCTTTCCAAAGGCTTCACCACAGACTACTATATCCCCTCTTTTGAGAGTGCCATTCTGCACAATGAATGTAGCTACCGGTCCTTTGGATTTATGCAGACCTGCCTCAATGACTGTGCCCTTCGCACTTCTATGAGGATTAGCCCTCAACTCTTGCAACTTCAATGAAAAAGCACATAAGAGGTTAAAATGCATAAAAGAAAATAATGAGAAAGACAAGCATGCACAAATTTTAAAGCATGTTAAATTTGTTTATTCATAGCAATTTTCCAGCAACATGAATAACAGGAAATTTGTTGTGAGAATTTCTAGATATGCCAAAAGGGTAAGGACGTGTGTTGGCATGTGCAGATGTCTATCCAGACTAATTCACTCATCTATGGTAAAAGTTATCTATGTTCACAGGCTCATTATGCTGAGGTATCCATGCCAACAGAACATGACGTGGGTATGGGCATGCACAATATGCATGAAGACAAAGCCATATCTTTGAGAATCAGATGAATTGACATCACACCAATACTCGTACCAGAGGCCATGTAATGTAGCATATTATGAAACCATCATAAACTGATAAAAATCTGCCCATATACAATTCAATACATTACAAGATACCTCAATCAAAGAGAATAAAGTTGGATTTCCAGCATAAATATCTAATTCAGCAGCTGATATTGCGGAGAGAAAAAGGAAGAAGTGGATACATTCATAATAATTAAAACAAGTAAGAAATTAAATTATATCTAAAAGCTAGCATGGCTGACAGTAGGGTTACATATTACATATTTCATGAATACATAAAAGCCAACAAGCACTCCCTGAAAAAATTTAACTTACCTCTGCAACAAGCATGACAGTTTCCAACAACTCATCTACATTATCCCCTTTAAGAGCACTGATCTGTTTAGAGGAGAATGGTAAAATAGTAAGCAACACCAAAGAGCATAAAGTATCAGCGCAGAATGCAAACACAATTTCAATGCTTGTAGTACAAACACCTGAACCATTGGGATGTCACCACCCCAATCTTCCGGCATTAGACCGATTGAAGATAGCTCTTGCATGACTCGCTCTGGACTAGCTCCCTCTTTATCTATCTAGAATGATGAAAGAAATAAAGTTAAGTCTACAATTCTTGAAACTAATAGTGAGTGATGTGAAAGCATTTCCAAGTGCAAGTACATAGATACCTTACTAATGGCAATCACAATTGGTACCCCAGCTGCTTTGGCATGAGCTATGGCCTCATTTGTTTGAGGACGAATCCCATCGTCAGCCGCCACAACAATGATAGCAATGTCTGTTACCCTTGTTCCACGAGCTCTCATTGCCCCAAATGCCTACATGAGTGAATAAAATATAGATATCATCTACAGGAGATAAATTGTGAGCAAGTTATTGTTCGTGATTAAGTTCAACCCCCATCAACCAAAAAGTAATAATACAGGGATTGTGAAGACTCAAAAAAGACCTAGCTCGAGATTCAAGATATATATTGTTTTTCAACATATATATATATATATATATAGAGAGAGAGAGAGAGAGAGGGAGGGAGAGATACATTACTGGCAAAGAAACCTGTAGTTAGAACCATGAATAAGAATTGAGTCTACCTCGTGTCCAGGAGTATCAAGAAAAACACATGGACGCGACTTGCCATCAATAGGTACTAGCACCTTGTATGCTCCAATACCTTGTGTAATACCACCTGCTTCAGATGCAGCTACCTGTAATGTCTAGTAGTCAGGGTACAATTTCATACTGGGATGGCCAGACGAATACTGCATAAGTTGAATAAATCAAGATGCAGGTAGCCAGAATATGGCATACTTCATAGATATTCTACCTTAAAGATGCAATGAACTATGAAATCAACGCGAAATATGAGCATCGGTTGCAATATAAATGAAATGGTAATCAAGTAGATTAAGCTTCGGCAATACCTTGCTTTTCCGAATATAATCCAAAAGCGTTGTCTGCCAAGTTGACAACACCAAACAGAAATCAGCATGAGCGTAACATCAGAAATTAAAATAAATATCATTTTATGTTAAAAAATGGATCATTATTTTACAAAAGGATGCACAATATCAAATGGGCAGATAAAGGAAGTGGAGATATGTCATTCTTTACCTTTCCATGATCTACATGGCCCATTATAGTGAGGACGGGAGGCCTATCTTCTAAGCTTTCCAGGTCGTCTTCATCAAGAATTTCCTTCTTTCTAGCCATTTCCTCCACTCTAACATGGGCAGCATCTATGACTTCCACATCATACTCTCTGCAAATCATCTTCACCATGTCTTTGTTGATTGCTTGCACGCCATCAGGCTTAATACCCTTCGCATAGAGATACCCAAGAATTTCACCTTCACTGATCGCTAAATTGTCGGCCAACTCCTCTGTCGACATACCTTCTTCACCAACCTCCAAAATGTCTACTTTAACTGGAGCAGCCTCTTTAGCTGCCTGAAGTCTAGCTGCTTTACGACTTGCCTTGCTCCATTTCCTTCCTTTCCTTGCTGTAGCGGCACCTGGAATAGAAACATTAAGTTCTGAAGCTTCCTCATCATGTTCCACATCATTAAACATACGCCTCCGTCCCCCGGATGGACCGCTTTTCCTACGAACATCTTTGAACTTCCCGGGCATGGGGCCCTTTCCAGGTCTAGGAGGTGCTAATACTGCTTGAGCAATCAGAGGATCAACCACAGGCTTCTTAGACGCAAATTTATCGACCAATATGGGCTTCCGTTCCTTAGTTTTTGCAGCTGAGTTTGTTTCAACAGTAGCTGGAGTCTTTGGCCCCGCCCCCACATCCTTCAAGATAACTGGTTTCTTGACCACAGGAGGTGGAGGAGCTACAGAGGGTTTTGCTTGTAATTTCGGTTGAACCCTCATAGGTGGCTGAGGGGGTCTTAGACTAGCAACAGACTCCGACACAACCTTGGCTGATCCCTCTATCTTCTGTTCCTTTTTATCAACCTTCTCAATCTTAGGTGATTCCTGAACAACTTTCTGTACACTAGCCACTGGGTTCCCTTTCTTCCACACACTCTTGAAAGTCTTATTCTTTTTAACAGCCATCGAATTGACTGGATTACCATTGCTCTGTTCAGTACTTGTATTGGGTGGTGGTTTATTAACTGATACACTCACTTTTTTACCAGTTTCTAATTTCTCTGCCTTCTCCAATACCTCTCCCAACGACTCAATCACTTTATTCCTTTCTTCCTCATTACCATTCAACTTGCCATCAGCAGAATCACCACTAAGATCTGATTTATCCCAAGTCACTGGATTCGTCGAGTTGATATTTGGTCCTGATTTTAGTACAGGCTTTGGTGCCGCCCTAATAACAAGGTCAGCATCATTGTCTTTGCTTCCCCTATACGTTGAATCAAGGGAACTCGAAGTCCCTTGCTCAGCAATGTATTCAGTTTTTACAGAATATACACACACCCCCACTCTCCTCCATCTCTCTCCACCCCAAATTTTGCGCGAACCACAAACATTTCTAGTGAGAGAAACTATCCGAGCAGGGGAAAGGGTTCCTTCAAAATGCCCAGACGAACTCGTACTCGCGCTTCCCAGACTCACCAAGGAAGCCAGCGAAGCCATGGTTCAATTTATATACTTTTCAATACAAACATGGACTTCAGAAAACAGTAAACACAACCCCTATAGTATAATGTAGTAATACAACAAATAAGATCAAATTCTTCTCTACAATTTCGTATGAACCATGAAACTCAAACAGTTAGAGTTAGACAAAGCGTGGCAAACAAATTCTGAAAGGCGGAATTCTCGAGTATCGAACAAACTCGGAAATTCTGGGAATCCAAATTAGAACACTGTTTTGCATTTAACTATGCATACGAGACCCAAAATTCAAAAAATTGAAAAACCTTACCTCTCAGAATTGGTGATTTTGTATCAGTTGATCAGTCATTGACTCATTGGGCTGTATGAGCTACTACTGCAAATGGGTTTGCTGTAGAGGTGATGTTGGTGTTGTGTTTAGAGAGAGAAAGAGATGGAGAGAGAGAGAGAGAGAGGGTGAAGTTAAGCACCTTGTGGCTATAAAAGCGTCTGTGGGGATGGGCAAGAAGGATGGTGATGACAAATTTGGAAATGCCTTCGGTTGGGGTTTTGTGTGCGTGTGTGGCTATTTTTCTACCTGTCAAATTTTGTGTGTGATAAGGCTTTGGTTGGGTTACTAAATAAATAAATAATAAAGTTAGATTTTTTATTTATCCACTTCAAAAAAAAAAAAAAAACAACAGATTTTTACATTTAAATGAAATTAGGGCCTCATATTCACACATTGACAGAGTCAAAGTCTTATATTTTCACAAAAATGAGTTTGACCTAAATAATGACAGGGCACATCAAGTTTTACTGTTTAAAATTTTTGTTGCCTAAAATGCCCTTCTCCCTATTCCAATGCATTTACCTTATTACCCTTGTTATTTCCTTATCTAATTTAAGCCATTGGAGCCCTAAATCATTAAGAATTCTTATTCGTGCGCCCCCTCTGACTATTTGGGGCTTTTCGAGAAAACAGACATTGACGACGAGTTAGAGCACCGAAGTTCTCAATCTTCAATCTGGTGGACAACAGTAAGATGGCGGAAGGTCCAGTCATGGAGAATGGAACTTGAAACAGCACAATCCTTCAACAATCCCATTTTAAGGGTCGAATAGATAATAAATTTGGGTTTCTCTGTTATGTTTTCTGCCATGTGCAATGAGATTAGGGAACACAAGATTTGTGCATGATTTTGTGTATTTGGTGTTTGTTTCTAGTTACAGATTCAATTTTTGTTGTTAAATGTGAATGAAAGTGGGTTGGTCTCTATTGATCATGGTTGATTTTTGGAATTTTTGAGTGTTAGGGTTTTTGGTCGCATACCTTATGAATCCTGCCTCGTTTTTTATTTTTTATTTTTATTTGGTGCCATTAGTTTTATATATTTTTCTCTCCATTTTTTACGTCTCTCTTCATATATTTGAGCACCAAAAGTACAACCATTATCACTTTCTTGACTGTGAATGCTACAAGATTGGCACATATTTATAAAACTGGCATGTTCTTAAATGTATTTATCTATTTGGATGTGAAAAATTACATTTATATCGTACAGACTTTTTTTTTTTGCATACTTATTTTCTGAAAAAAATAAAAACAAAAATTACATGTATATATGGAGTATCCTAGTATGGTTATCCCGAAGTCTTAATAGAATAAGATGAGGTTTCTGTAATGATTGAGTGGCTAACTTTAGGTGTCTGGAAAATTACATCTCCTACAAAAATACATATTTTTCTCTTATATGTGTGTGTGTGTGAGATTGTAAGCCAACACATCAAATGGGCAATAGGCCAGCTGGTACAAGCCCCTCCTTCCCAAAGGTGTGTGTGTGTGTGAGATTGTAAGCCAGCACATCAAATGGGCAATAGGCCAGCTGGTACAAGCCCCTCCTTCCCAAAGGGAGAGGTTAGGGTTTGAGCCTCAGTGGAGGCATGGGTGTGTGTGTGATTGCTTAACCTTCCAAAAGAATAAAAAATAAGATAAATCCCCACACCTTAGATGAGACAGATCCTTTGACCACAACTGGGTATTTGGATTAAACTAAAAAAAAAAATGTGAACTGAAAAGCTGCAATTTTTATAGGTTATAACAATTTACCTGGTTGTTTTGAATTAATGTTAGCCCTTTTCTTCCATTTTTTTTTTTCATTGTCAAATCTTGTGAATTTTTCTTGCAATTATTGTGGACACTTATTTGCGGTAAAGGAGCTCACTTTGTTACTAATGCACATTTCAATTGAAGCCTCATGTGATATGTTAAGTTGGAAATTGCCTAGTTAAATGAGTTCCCTCTCATGCACAAACTCTAATGGGGGGTGGTGGGAATCACATGCATGTTTAGCAAGGACATGTTAGAATATAATGTTGCTGAAAAGAATTGAACTATCTGAAATGTTTCTGTTTATAGTTTTGGATCCTACATTAATTTAGCTGTATTTTTGTATGTTACATGAAGATTGTGTTCTTTGTGATGATACTTTGGGGATGATTGGACACTCCACTACAAGAAAAATGCTCTTTTACGACCTGTGATTAACGACATGCATAAAAAAACAAGCCTTATTAAGTACAATTTAAGCCTTTATGTTTTGGACAAGTCGTTAAATGTTATATTCACGGCTTATATTTAATTGCCCGTTTTATTTTCTTTTAAAGGCCTATCTTTCTTTTTCTTTTCTTTTTTTTTAATTAATTTTTTATTATAACGACATGTTTGTTACATCGTTCATATTGGACCCAAAATTACTTTAAATTAATACCATTCCCTCGCTATTTACTTATGGAAAAAAATATCGCCCAATAAGCCCTAACTTTCAGCCTCATGGTTGATCCCTTCCAAACAATAGAACAAGAATCCTGCCTAATCCTTTTCCGTTCCAAGGGAAAACTCTACAACTGGTCAATCTAGATTCAAGGAGGAGTAAGCTTGGCTATGACTTCCATTTTTGCTTCAATCTTGTACTCTTTACCGATACTTCAACAGTTTTTCAATTTCATCCCTAATTGTGAGTTTTATTATACTTTCTACTTTCTTTTAGTTTTGATCTTGTGAGATAGATTACGAGAATATGAATTTAATTGTGAGATTGAGGGTGTATATATATAAAGGAGTATATATATATATATGTGCAATAAAGGAGTGCAGCGAAGCAGCCCCAAAAACCAGATTCAACCATTATATATAGTTTCTAATTTCTTTTAGTTTTGCTGTCTTGTGATCTCTTTGTGGGTGTGATTTGGCTTGGATAGTTCGGTGGAGATTGGCATTAGGTATGCTTAAAAGAGAATGGGTTGTTACTGATTTGTTGTTCTCCCCTTATATGTTGAAATTAATCCAAACTTGAATGGATTAATTTCAACATATACCCTCTTTCAATCTCAGAAATTATCTTGATTTTCCTGCCAATTCCAATTATGGGTAGCCAGACAGCAAAAATGTACATCAATTGTGAATTCCAAATAATGGCAGATAATGAAAATTAATAAGATAATTATTTATGTCAGCAAGTTGTCTTTCGAGAGGCATGATGAAAATTAATTTGGATGTCGTTCCCTTAGAACATACTGTAAAAATTAATTTGTATTTATAATATATGTAAATATTAAATGGAAACAAAGTATGTAGCTAGCCTTTACTCGAAGTCATCAAATGCTACTCTAATGGTGACAAGCTTCCCAGTATACCTATCTTTTGTGTACATATTGGAGACTTGAAGGAACTCTGCTATTTAGTCTGGGCAAAATATTAACGGATAGAATTCCCAAATCTGACCAACATAGGGCACGATTTGTTTGGATGCAAAATGTTTTCCAAAAAATGTTGAACCATGTTTGGGGCACTGAAAACTGGAATTGCGTTTTGTTGCTTCTAAAGACAACATTTTAGGTATTTTTAGCAAAAGTACCTTATCTATTGTACTTATTTATAGACGGCTTGGATCTGAACTCTCTTGTTCTTTTAGCTATTGGCTTAAATTCTAGGGTTTTTGGTTTGTTTTGCCACTCTTTTGAGATTATTATTATTTTATTTTTGTATATATTTTAGAAAGCTAAGAAGCTTCACCAATCATCTTAAAAGTGAATTCCCTTATGACAATTTGTATTAACCTTCCTTTATTTATTTAATTTTTGCACAAAACCTTCCCAATCACTATGACTTTTCATGTTCAAGTAAGTTTTAAATTCGTTCAAATATTATTTTTTTGCATCGTGTGTTAGTAAATTTTTAATAGAGCCATGTGCTGATTTCATTAAATGTAATAAACTTGAATTTTTTTTTTTATTTATTACAGAATGTGATTGAAGGATTGATTGTTGCCGTCAAGATTTTGTACGAACGAGGGAATCTAAAATATGTTCAAAATTGATGGTTATGTTCTTATTTTGAAAAAGATGGTTGTTTCTTTTTGAATTTAGTGGTTTAGTTTTTATTCTTTATTAACATTATCATATTAGATGGATAGGAACTTTTATAATATTTACGGTGCCTTTAAATATTTTGTAAACAGGTACTAGACTTAATTTTTTTGCTTAATGAAAAGTAATGGATTTTTGTTATTCTCATTAATACGTCTTATGTTGTATGTGGTGATATGATATGATGTGTGCATTATTATTATTATTTTTCATATTGAAGACATGCATCATTTATGTATTGAACACAGGCACAAAACATCAATTGTTAGTTCCATTAGAAAGTAAAAGGGCTTCTATATATGAAAAATACTTGTATCTTCCTTACCTTTGGTTAATATTTAGCTGATTAACAATGTTCCATTTAGATGTACAAATGCATTATTAAGAATGTTTTTGGTTATTTATTCAACATTGCCAATCAGCTAGATATCAAGTAAAGTAGAATTATGGAACTGGCTTAAAAGCAGCTTCTTTACCTATCAAGTAGAGAATAATTGTGTTTAGGATATATTGTAGAATAAAAAATAAAAAAAAAATTAGCAAAGAAACAATGTTCCAAGTGAAGGTACCACTTTAAATTGCAAAAATAAGTCCCTTTTGTGGAGGTACCACTTTTTTTCCAAAGGTACCATGTTTTTGACTGAAGGTACCACTTTTTGGCATTTAGGTACTATGTTTTCTAAACACTCGCTTAGCTAGCTTGGAGTATATTTTGTGTTATTTATGGCCCTAATGGAGTTGTTTATGGATGTAATATGTAACTTAATTAGCGGTATGGGGTATAATACCATTTTCAATTGCAAAAATAAGTCCCTTTTGCGAAGGTACCACTTTTTTTTTCCAAAGGTACCACATTTTTTAACTGAATGTACTACTTTTTGGCGTCCAGGTATCATGTTTTCTAAACACTCGCTTAGCTAGCTCGGAGTATATTTTGTGTTATTCATGGCGCTAATTGAGCTATTTATGGATATAATGTGCTACTTAATTAGCAGTGTGGGGGTGTAATACCATTTTCAATTGCAAAAATAAGTCCATTTTGCGAAGGTACCACTTTTTTTCCAAAGGTACCACGTTTTTGAACTGAAAGTACCACTTTTTAGCATCCAGGTACCATGTTTTC